CAAAAGGATTTATACATATAAAATATTATATTTATATCCAACACAAGGATATAAAGATCGTCCTATGTCTAAATTGGGTCTTGGTCAAGATTCTGCAAAAAATCAGAAGAAATTGGGAGAAGGGAATACATTAAAGAAGACCCTTGTTAATATGAGGGTCATACACTTTCTGCTGTGAGAATAAACAAGAGGAAGTCCTACCCCTCCACTCCCCCTCCAAACAAATAAATCTGCTTACAGATGTCCTCGGAGTTCCATGTAAACTACTGAATAAGCAACATTTTCCCTCTCAGGAAAAAAACGATAGGATCTCAATTATAAATGCTCCACAGCTGCTTGCAACCCTTTAGAAAAGAAGGCATCTTTTTCATTAACTGAAATAAAATCAATGAGGATAGAAATAAAATTTGCTTTAATTATACATCCACAGAAGAGATGGGAATGTTAAACTGATTTGTTCAGATAGATATAATCACAAAAACTCAAGTCAAATCCACATTTGTTTTATGAAATGTGTTAACTACAAGAATGCTTTCAATTTAGACTTAATGATGGTTAGCATTAAGAGTACACACTTTAATTTTGCACATGTGAAATGTAAGTTAAAGGAGATATTAGAAAATATGACAGTTGACAGATTTATAATTAATGACATTCAGTATCTTGCTTCAAGAAAGGTTTAAAAATATATCCTAAGCCTTCAGATTAAGTGAAGAAATAAAGTACTGAATACACAACACGCACAGATGAACTTAATCAAACATGCTTTTAAATATCTTGAGATACAATTATTTCAAAGTTCAGTATTGTTTTAAGGCCACCTATTTCATAATCTTGTGAGTTTTAATTTACAAAGTAATTATTACTAAACCTGTGACATGAGCCTTTTAAATGCAGCTGAATGAGTGGTTCAAGACGGACAATGAAACTGAGAAACACTGATTTATGACACACAGAGTGCTTGTAGAACCACAGGTTTGAGCTCAGTGTGTTAGTCCAATTGTTCCCCTACAGCCACATGGCAATGGCTTAAGTTACAATTCTATCCATTAAATTCTGCAATCTGATCTCTGAGTTATGCAAAACTTCAGAAGAATCTGCAAGAGCAAAGTTATTTTTGTCAAATGATCTAGCCACATGGAAAATGATAAGAAGGTCAAGCCTGTCATTCCCGATCCAGAAACAGGTGCTCCTGCTTTGTCTGTGGCTTGCACCGGGCGGAAACCAAACCATACAACGGTTTCATTAGTGTAACTACTGTAATATGCTAGTCAACCATAACACTGCAAGGCAAGGTTATACACAGAGGCATCTAATACATTGCACTGATCGCTGAAACTACCAATCGCATCATAAATAGGTAAGAAAAAGATTGTATTTTAAAGCAATAATCATATTACAGCACTCCGAGGTGCTACCCCATGTGAAAGGCAATATATAAATGCACGTTGTTGTTTCACAGACAGAGATTAATACTACACACCAACGAAAAGTATTGAGCAGTACAATTAACATTTGAGTGCCTGGGCTTCAGACTCAGTAATACATCTTGTAAAGTTATGCAGTGAGTTTGCCAATTAAGTTGTGGTGTCAGATTCTGAATTCTCATATGACAGTCACTCTTAAATCAGTGTTGTTCAGACTTTTCTGGTGCTTCTGTAACCTTCAGATACTATACAATAATAATCTGATTAACAAAACAAAGCAATGACTCTCTCATTGCCTTTTTTATTTTGGTCTACTGGACGTGTGCACAAGTGGAGACCCATCATTATGCTTGAAGAGTATCCAAACCAGATTGAGCGTTCCACATACACATGCCAGCTACACGTGGAAATTTCCTTGTCTGGAATGGAATGTGCACTCTCACACTGGAGGGACGCACTCTGCTCACCTAATTACTTGCCCTCGATGATTTAACAGATTCCCTCAGCAAGGAGCTGAACCAGGAAGGACCCAGTTTCAATCCCCAATCTATGCCCCATTATCTGATCGCAGCTGCAACTACGGTTTCAACTCCTGATTGGAAGCCAGCGATTTCTGGAGCTGAGTGGAGTGAGTGCCTCAGAGGTCAATGCTGGGTACTCTTCCGCACCTAGCATACATACATGACCTGAAAGACAGATTGACTGCAGGAGAACAGAATACTTTTCCTCAAGGTGAGAGAATTACTGGAAGAAATGAAGCCTGGAGAGTTGGGAAGCCCATCTGATAGACGTTCAAGGCATAGTGTTCTGAAAGAGATTTGCCAAGGGAATTATTGTCCCAGTCAGATGGACGGTGTATAATCCTATTTCTTTGTGATGGATAAGGAATAGTTTGATAAAAAAAAGGGAAAAAATAATACAGGCCGCTGAAATGTCAGATTGCATTATTATGATTATTCAACTAACTCTCAATATTTATCAGAAATAACCTAAGGCGATTTGCTCCTGCACATATGTTAACAGTTTACACAACTCCATAAGCAAAGTACAATTTGCATTTCTATAGTCCCCTTCACATAGGGTAACTCTTGGAGTGCTTTACAGGGGCGGAGGTGTGCAGAGATAGATGGAGAGGGTCCAGAGTTTAAAGGTATCCAGTTTTCATTGTTTCATCTGTGTTAACTTTTNAAACCTTTTTCTTAAATGCTTTTATGACCTTTCAACAACAACTTGCACTTATATAGCGCCCTCCAAACTGGGTAGCATCTCAGAAAGCTTAACAGTGGCGGAGCCTAACTCCGAGCCGGGAGGGGGCAGGGCTGGTGACCGTAAGCACGGTCGAAAAGGAAGGCTTTCAGGCAGAACTTGAAAAAGGGGAGGGGGCAAAACGGAGAGATTGAGAGGGAGTGTTCCAGAATTTTGGGGCGTAGCTGCTGGAAGTACGACCTCCAATGTTGGAGTGGAGGGTTGGAGTGACAAGCCAGTCAGTGCTTTCCACCATCTATTGTTTTTTTTCCTCCTTCTAATTAGTTCTATTAGATATTTTTTTCTCTCAGTTTACTTTTGCACTGCTTTGTTTAGTGAATGCTGTTGTTGGCTCTCCTTAGTTGGCAAACAAACATAGCAAGACGAGGCAGTTACAGATCCAGATGACAAGGATAGGAAGAGAATTTCGCGTGTGTAAGAATCCAGGAAGTAGCAAGAATGCTGGATTAATGAGAGTTGTTAAATAAAGGTCACAAGTCTGGATCAAAGAAGGAAACACCTGAACAAGGTACAAGAAAAGTGCTTGACTTGAAACCTAGAAATGGAAATTAATTTCTTTACAATTAAAATTATAATGATTTTATCATATCTAAGTCCCCAATTTGGAGCTTCAAATTTGAAGGGAAATTTAAGAAAGGTGAAAATATGTTAAAAGAATAAGTTAATCAAATCTTACATCCTTCCTTGGTTGCTGAATTTGTTTTTGTTTACAGAAACCAGCTGTGGGAGTAGCAGCCGATGAAGAACAATAAAATTAAACATTTTGCTGAGAGCTCCTGTGGAGAACTGAATTTACTTCAGTCAGACAAGTACGAGTTTGAGGTCTTCATAAAGGCTGACAAATGAGCGTTCGCACCATACTGCACATAGTGTACAACACCTCTGTCTTACAACTTCCAGTATTGTAAAAATAATCCTTTAAAACTGCACAGAGTTAAATTTATTGCATCTAGGTTACAATATCTTTAAAATGTGAACCAATCATAACGACATACCTTTTAACATGTTACATACCAAGCTGATAATCAATGCTACAATACAGAATAATCTTTTTAATATGCCTCTACGATTGTTAAATGCTCTGCAGAATTGTTCACATATGAAAGTACTTATTGTTCAAAAAAAATCTGCTCAAGTAATGCTCGGCTGTGCTTTTGCTGTTGGATTGCAGCCTATTCTACCATAACCAAAGTGTGCTCTGTGCTCGTAAAGTTATAGGGCCAAGAGCACGATCAGAGGATTTTTTAAAAATTGTCTTTAGCAATTGATCTGCTGTGTAAAAGGATCCTTTCTTTCACAGTTTTAATGCCAATTGTTTTCAGTGGATGCACTGATATTGTCAGATTATGTTACAGAGAATACTGAGACAATATTATATGACAATTTAAAACTCTTATTTTCCATTGACATGGATTATAGATGTAGGATTATGCCAATTAAACTACTTAGTATTAATAGGTTTATATTCCTCAATAATCAATTCAAAAAGCAGTGGGAAATAAAGGTGCAAGTTTGCAATGTTCCACTGAATTTTCACCATATACTCAGTTGTATAAATTAAAAATGTAATTGAATGGATTATACAAATGTTAAGGTTCAAATTGTGTAGTAAACTGCTCACGCTATGTTCTTATAGCTTATAAGGTTTTATTTATAGTAAATCTAAAGTTGTAGACTCTAAAGAAATACCTCATTCTAACTGGCTTGTATTTCAGCGGATTCTGATTTTTTAACTACTTAAATCTCTTTACTCATAGTTTATACACATACAAACTACTGTAACATGTCAACACAGGTCATTTTTCAACCTAAATACCTTCAGTCTAAAGGAATAACAACCACAGCAACCTCTTGCTCCCATCACTGGGCCAACACACAAGACTTAGCAGCCACATGATCGCACTTCAGCAAATGCGTTACTGTAGTGTGTCACAATCTCCATGTAAAAAAATTAAATTTTGCATGAAATGTGCAGGCGGCTAAAACCCAAATAAACAAGGCTGCAAAATAAACCACTTATTGGACTTGTAAGACATTCATTTAACATTGCTCAGCATTTTATTTTCTGGCCATCCACCAACCCAAGATATATCTCAAATCACTGAATTGCTAACTTGCAATTCACTTATTGCAAACTGTTACATCACACGACTATTTCAGTCATTCACATGGAGATGGGAATAGTTCCAAACAGATAGTGAGGTCTAGGCTTCAATGATCAAAATAATGCAACAAAATAAACTGTAATATCCTAATATTCTGCATTCCACCAGGTACACAAATAACTTGGTATTTTTTTGCTTGCTTGACTTGTTATGAAAAAGTAGGTTTGGGTTTATTTTTGTTTTGTTCTTGAACTTACAATCACTTTCTGTCCAAGATAACAAACTTTGAATGCATGCCATGTCATGACGTTTCAAAAACTGCGATACAGTCACAGAAGTCTTAAGTTCAGGCATCTTCTCCAAAAGCCGACACCCCCCCAGAAAAATTCTGATTTGTAACAGCTTCCAGAGTGAATCAGAAGGGAGCTGTAAACATTTTATGCAGGGTTAGTGCAATCGGTCTTGCTGAATCTTCCCACAGAATCAACTTTGGAATATTTCGTACAACCTTTTTATTCATCAACTGCTCCAACCTTTGAAGAACTCTTCCAAATACAGGCAGAAGCTCAGTCTTCATCAAGCAACTGATCAGCTTAGCAGATCAAAATCCTCTCGGCACTTAATGGAACAGCAGTATGCTACGTAGCTTACCTGGGTCCTCCTAGAAAGACAGATCAGTCTTTAAAATTCATTGGAATTAGATCTAGGCGTATGAAATAATAAGAATAATAAGAGTAATAATCCTTGCATTTAATATAGTACCTTATCACATATTCGAGATGACTTAAAGCGCTTCACAGAATATACTGTAAAGTGTAGTGACTGTGTATTTTGTGGGCAAAACACAGCAGCCAATTGCACACAGCAGTGTTCCACAAAATAAACACTGGAAGTTTAAGTTTTCATATCCAAACACGACACACTGGTATAGATAGGAGGGAGCTAGTCAGGAATGAGGACCAATAAGTATGTAACACTTTATCTTGTTCACCCTCAACTTATTATTACAAATTATACCTGAGCAGTACTGTAACTAACGTGCATAACCCAGAGTTAATTTTAAGGTGTTTGTGGAGTACAGACATGATAAAGCAATTATCTTAAACAGACAAGACACAATTTTCCCTGACCTAACCAAGAACACAGAGGAAATCATGGTTTAATGATTCAGCTATTGGACAGCAAGAGGTCATCACAACAGCAATGTTACACGATTTATTTGAAAACTGCTTCTATAATGACATTTTGATCGATAAATGCTAAAGGCAAAACTTCACTTTAAGAATAGACTTCACCTTAAAAATGTGGAATTTGTTTTTCTATTGTCCCAGAAAGCACAAATACATTTGCCCCAATCAAAAAACTCGAGCCAGTTCGACTAAATTAACAAAAAAAAAGGTTATGCTGCCCTTTTGATGTTAATGTTTTTTTTACCTCACAGCATAACCCTCAACAGACATTCAAAGCGCAATACCAATTTCTTTCTAATTACCCATTATGCAAGCCAGCCATAGGGGTCTCTCTCAGGGGAAAATATTTAGGATAGACGATGGTAAACATAGCCTGGCTGCAGCGATGACAGTGTCCCAGTGGGTAGAATAGTAACTTGTACAAATTCCTAGGTAATGAGATTGGGGACAGGAGGTCCAGACCTATAGAATAAAAAAAATGCAAAAAGTCAGTGCAATAAATATCCTATTTAACATGGATTATTATTTTAAAGCATACTGATAAGAGGAACATGCAGGCCTTTAAACATTAGTTGTATTTGTTGGAAGTAAAAAAGAAAAAAGATAATAGATCTTTTTAAAAAATTCTTGACTACTGCTCAGTGCCTTTCCCTATCAGCAGAGTGGAAACAGTAACTTACTGTGTTGGGAATTGGGAACTATGGCTGCAATGCCCAAAACCATCCCCCCCCACACACACATGCGTCCAATCTTTCTATTGTGCAACACGCAGGCTGCATCCCCATTGTTTTCTTGAATTGGATAAAAGAGAATTTAACCTGCACCAAATCACTGCGGGAAGATTTTGTTTTGGAAGTTTCTATTTACAAAAGGAGGACTTTTCTTGACTTGTAATCAATGCATCATCGCTAGGGAATATTTTCTAAAAAATCTATTATTTCATTCATATCCATACAACTATGGATTGAGCTGTAAGTGTAAGTGTGTAGATGTTTCTTTTACATCTGTAGCTCAGTGGTTAGAGCACTCGCCTCCCAAGCGAGAGACCTGGGTTTGATTCCCGGTAGGGTGAAACCTTGGGCAAGTTTCTTTACTCCACACGCCTGGTAATAATCCCTCAAAAAAAATAATAAATTGGTCATTTCCATCCAGGACTGTTTGTGGGACACTGCTGTGTGCAATTGGCTGCCGCATTTTGCCCACAAATATACAGTCATTCACTTTAGTCTATTCTGTGAAGCGCTTTGAGACGTCTAGAAGACATGAGAAGCGCTATATCAAATGCAAGGATCATTATTATTATTATAACGAGTCAATTTAAAAACTCACACGTCCGTTTTGTGATTCAAATGTAGAAATTAGCCTAACATGAACTGCCTGAGTTCTCAATAGGGAACGATCAACAGCCAAGCACAGGTCACAATACCTGTTGCCTTCCTACTTATACAGCCAGGGAAAATTTGTTGACCAACTATTTTTTTTAAAAGCTGGGTTCTTTTGTCCAGATCTTTCTTCATTTTGGGTTCTTATGCCACCCCCCCCTCCCACCCCGCACTATTCCTTGGCCAGAAAATTGACAATTAGCTTACTCTTGGTCCTGTTCAACTCACTGGTTTCAAAAATAAGACTGTTAACCTCAATCCCAATTGTTCCCTCATGCCCCGTCCTCCCCTTCCCCATCAAGTCTCTGCTCCAGACTTGCGGGTAATAGCATAATGGAGAAGTACTTCAAAATGCTACAGAAGTGCGCTACTGGGCATCTCTATTGAAAGCACAATTAATATGATCAGTGGTTAAAAAAAATTATCTGAAAACAATGAAAGATTGCTCTTTTCGCCAGGTTAAGTTAACTAGAATGAATTTTCTTGCACATATCAATCTACATCTCTAAAAACTGCATTACTACTTAGACGTGCCTTTCTCAGATGCGCTGTAAAAAGTGTGAATTGTCCTCATGACCATTTCTTGAAGTGGCAGCACAATGTTACTTCCTGTCCCTATTTCCAGGACTTCATCTGGTATGTAATGCTTGGCTGTTCATGCACAGAGGAACCACAACTGTGGTTACATACGGAAAGAGGAGGGAAAGAAAACACACACGAAAAGTCATTGCAATCGTGAGGACACATTGTATTTGTAGTTTGTTATACAATTCTATATCCCACTGTTATATAAAACAAAGATTTCTAACAACCTACAGGGTGACCAAAAAGATATGATACCATTACAATGTTTAATAAATCTTAAGAGAATTTTTTTTAGATAATAAGATAGTTATCATGATCACCCTGTATTTACCCCATCTCTCTATGCCTTCTGTAAATAATACTGTATAACTGTAATTGTTGGCTTGATAGAAAATGAAAAAAATGTTATTTCAGCATTGATGTAGATGATTTTGTTATTCTACACTAAATTAAATTATGTATAATACTTTACAGCCTAAAAGTCTATCCAACATGAGCACCTTCATCTCCATGTAGGTAATATATCAATAAATAATAATTTCACAGCACAGTAACTTGAACTCCAATCAAATTAATGAAAATAATTTATTACAATGAATTATTTATTTCCTGTCTGATTCAAGCAGAGCATCCCGAATATACCGAAATGAAAATTAACCATCCATGTAATAAACAGAACATTGCAACATAGATGCTGTATTTTCATTTGTGTATGTTTACATCCTTTTCCTTAATATTTTAAAACAAATCAGAATGCAATTAAAGGAACAACACCAAAATACTATCACCACACTATACAGTAAATCCTGTGAAATGCTTTGTGACGTTCTCCAAAAGTAAAAGGCGTTATATGAAATGCATGGACTATTATTTATTGTTTCCATCATGTTCCATGGAGAAATAATTAAGACATGTAAAGTATCACGATGTTTTTATCTTTGTGATTTCCCCAAATGCTAAGACCTCTGTGGACATGACTATAGTTTCCTCTATCGCTCAAGCCTTTTAATTCCAAAAATCCATTCATCCACTCTTTAAACTATTATATAGTCTCATGTTCTGAAAAGGCACACAAGCATAAATTACATTAATTTCTAAGAGTACGTGATTTCAGAATTCTCTCCCATTCGCTACTAAAAACAAGAAATGGTTGTCATTGATTGAATAGAGTAAGATAAGCAAAACTGAGGCTTAATAGCTAGAAGAGGTTAGCTCTCTGGTTGCTTTTAATACATGTGGCATATTGAATACATCCACTCTTACTACGTAACTATGACAATTATAATTTATTATTACTCAGGTAATAGTTTATACATTAAGCAATATCAATGGTAGTTGTATTACATGTATTTACTGCATATCATGATTAAAAAGATAATGGAAAGCAAAATTGCTCTTACCCACTACAGCCAAGAACTTTGTTGTATAGATAAGATGGCAGTCCGTACAGTTGCAAATTGTTATCTACATAAATATATTGTAGCTCTGGCGAACGTCCTAGGTCTAAAAAAAATTAAACCTTTTTATTATTTAGAATGAACTAAACAAATTAACAATAGACAATTTAACTCAGAACTTCAAAATATAGTCACATGGGCCTTGATCCTAAATTCAATTCATTGGGGTGTAAAAAAAATTATATTCTCAATATTCTCTCAGGCAACACTGTTTCATAGAATGCTTGATTAACAATGGGTGAGGTTGCATGCGGTGAAGATGTACAGTAGTTTTGTGCATCTACTCCAACCTGACTATGCTACTGAACAGGCCAGATGCTTCCCCATAGGTGTCAGGTAAATTGAAGGGAGAGTTGTTAAGAGTTGTTGATATTTGAGCATTTCTTTATGCTTCATAAGCAGGCGAATCAAGAAAAGCATTGCCATAAACCTGAAAGTTTATTGCTCACTTTTCTGTACTTGATATGTGGTCCAAATATGGCAACAAAAATAAAAAGGTGCATTATATTAAGAGTCCCCAATCAATTCATGAGTATAGGTAGCACTTAGTCATACAGATCATTGAAGGCCCAGATTTGATACTTGTGTCAAAAAAGTCTCAGCCCAGGCAATGTTCGATATGCCACAATACATATGTTTGGACTTACAGTCCCAAATCCCACTACCCAAATCAAACTGAGTTCAATTCCAGGCAGGGCGAAACCTGGGGCAAGTTTCCTTACTCCACACGCCTGATAATAATCCCTCCAAAAAACAAAACAATAATAAATTGGTCATTTTCAATCCACGACGGTTTGTGGGACACTGCTGTGCGCAATTGGCTGCCGCGTTCGCTCACAAATATACAGTCAATTCACTTTACAGTATATTCTGTGAAGCGCTTTGGGACGTCTGGAAGACGTGAAAAGCGCTAAATCAAATGCAAGGATTATTATTATTATTATTATAACTTACATAAATCACTATTCAAACAACCAATGCTCAAAGTGGGAAATTTTTCAGTCTTGAACTATGACAATACTATACTCTATAAAAGTTGTTTTTTTTACCTCGGGTGTTATAACTTTTAAATCAAAACAGTTTAGGTAAACTTCTACCGTTCTGATTACCAAGTACGATTTAAGAAAGTTGCCCAAATTGTCTGCTAAGTAGGAGAGCTGAAAATCTTTTTTTGTCTCTCCCCATTTCCTCCTAACCTTCAAATAGCACGTGAGAACATTATACACTGCTGAGCCTCCTCTCTTAATTGATTTCTTGTCGTCTAAGCCTCATTATGTAAATGCTGGAACTGCTACTGAAGTCGCCAATTAAATTTCTGAATTGGACCTAAGGTCGCAAACTAAATTCCGTCCTTAAATCTTTAAGAGACCAATAGCAACTCAAATTTTTTTAAAAACACTTTCTGCACATTTGCATTACTGATAACTAATACTAGGATTTTATACAGTGGCATGTCAGGCAGGAGGTAAATTGAAGGGAGAGTTCTGTTGCTTGACCATTCGTTTCTCCATGCTTCAGATTAATAGGGGCCAATGCATGATCAAATAATAGTCAACATAATCTCCCAATGTAAACAAAAATATACAACCCCAGTGACAAGATTAGGCTGAACAAGGAACAATAGAGTATTGAAAATTGATATGGCCAAACATTAATCCTGAAATGGACAATTGTTATGCAACATTCCATTGTGCACTTTTACAAAATTCGAAAAAGCACCAATATCACTATCAACTCACTGAAGCACTTTTTATTATTCTAAGCATTTCTTACTTTGACATATTTTGGATTTGTTATAATAAAAGAGGAACAGGCTTGATGTCTTTTAGCGATTTAAATGGAGTCGATACCAAAAGCCATGTTGATTCCCGAGATACATATTAACCCTCAATAAAAATCTTCTGCCCAAAGCAAAATCCATGCATGGCTTATAAGGTCATTCAGTCCTTTAAAATGCTTCATCATTGAAGGAGACTATGGTGACCAGATACTGTACGTACATACTAGGCACAGATATTAACCTAGAATCATCCATCATTCTAGCCTTAATAAGTCCAACTTAATTTGGGTTTACTGAATCTAGAAGAGTTCTTTCCAGTCTCGTAGTTAAGATCTTGCGACCACTATTAATCAAGGAGGCAGCCCTTAGGCGACTGTATTTTACCAGTTTCTTTGATCTAAGAAGCAGGCTAATAAAGGTTAATGTGGGTGAATTGGGAAGATGATACTTCTTCTTAAATACCCTTATGAAGCTGTGTGCCATTTCATCCGCTCAATTTTACAAAGACTGTCTGACTACCCTTCTGACTTAGCTGATACAATCAACTTCAACTGCAACTGGTCCTTTAACATTAAACTATCTTCATGTTGTGAGTTCTGAGTGAAAAATTTAACATAAAGCAACCGTAAACCCACTATACTAGAGTTAATGTTGCGACACCTAAATCAATTAGTATAAGATCTCTAAAAGCTAAAGTAAACTGTAAAGGATTTGATGTATTTCCCACATTCATACATTTAATAGCTAAAAATTATTCAAAAAAACACTTCTGTAACTGGTGTGAATTAACAGGGAAGGGCACATCTGTGTGGGCAAGATGCTTTCACAGAAATTAGATTAATACTGAGCAACATTTACTTTTTCAGATCAAGTGTTACACACCCTTGGGTAGATTCTAAAAAAGAGTGTTCTAATAAACAAATACATGCTGAAAAAGCCCTGTAGGGAGAGATAAGCTCTGTACATATCCAAGTGAAATTTATACTCAAGAGAGTGAAATGGAGAATTTTTCTTATTAGAATTATGAATTGATTGAGATAAAAGTCAGAACACCTTGGGGAGGAATTTAGATTGGGATGGAAGCCAATGAAAGCCTCAAGGAGCTGTGTAAATGGAAAAATCAGCTAAACCTAAAAGTTCTCTGATTCAGTTAACTGATTTGATGCCAAAATCCATGATAGAAATTCAATGGCATGTTACTGTTGGCTCAAATAGATATGAGTCTGAAACAGTTTCAGATACCACAATGAAAGGATGTTAAACCTGAAGACTGTGACTGAAAGGTGCCATTGTTAAAACAATGTGACTTAAGTGACTCAAACGAGTTGGTAATAGCAATGCAACTGCTGAAGGAACAAATTTTCTATCTAGAGAATTACATAGACATGACATTAGGGGTATATCCTGCCACTCTCCCACCTTCTGAATCTTTGAGTTAAATAACAATAATCCTTGCATTTGTTATTTTAATTAAATATAACTCATGGGTGTGCTTACGCTTGGAATACTATATTTAGTTTGGACACCTTACATTACCTTACATTCGTACATTAATGTAGGGAACTGGAGTATTAGGGAAAAAATTGACAAGGATTATTAAAAGCTTACAATCACTAATGCATTTGCTAATTTATGGCCTCCTTTGCTGAAGGCTTTGAATCTAATTTTTCATTCTAATTCTTTGGGTACGGTGTGTAAAAAAAATGACTAAACAGTACTGTACTTCAAACTCACCTAACGGTAAACATTTCAAACTGTTGCCAGCTACAGAGAGTTCGTTCAAGTTGGGAAGCAAGCAAATCTGTCTGGGTAAAACTTCAAGGTTGTTCAGATCAGCCGTCAAATACTGCAGAGAAAAGCATAAATGAAGCCTCTCTGGCAACGCAGTCAAGCAATTGGTTGAGACGTCAAGAGTTCGCAGTTCCCTCAGATCTCCGATTTCTGGTGGGAGAAGGAGGAGGGAAGGGGGAAAATTTACTTGCCAGCATAAACTGTTCAAACAATAGAAATTGGTTCACATTACACATTTCAGCTCATCTGTCACACTTGGTTACTTGACACAACAGAGAAACAGGTTAGTAGCACCACTTGCTTAGAAGAGTGCAACAAATTCCAAAGCAAACAAATCAACAATCTGAATTAAAACTGAATGTGTTTTGGGAAATTTTCTAGCATGGACACTTCTCTTCAGTTATATATTTATAAATAAAGTAACCTCATTGGTCTCATTAATCACTAAAAATGTGTGCAAGTCATTTCCATTGCCTTCCTTTTTCAGGAAAATTGCCATTGCTTGATTTTTCTTCCTTGTCCACATCTGGTGAATATGGATGCAAAGTCATGTCCAAGGAGTCCTGGCTTGAATCTCTACACGAGAGCACAATTTTGCTGTCAGGCACAGAAATAAAAGACATCTTAAATAATAAAAATATAAAAGGATCCTTCACTTTAAGCAGTTATTTCTGAACAAACAAAATAGACTCATGACCCAGAAAAAGGTGTACAAAATGTTGCTATACCTCTCCTCAAACACCTAATTTGAGCATGTTTTATCTGGGCATTGGGTTTGTGTGTCCTTGAGGCTGCAAAAAAGATAGAAAAGAATCTGGCAGAGCGCAAAGTTGAAGCTATTCAATGCCAGATGTTCCAGATTGACACTGCCAAAGTGAATTGAAAATCTGAAAAACAGCTGAGGCCTGAAATTCTACCTAGTCTTACAATACAATACAACATTACATTTGTATAGCGCCTTTCACGTCATGAGGACATCCCAAGGCGCTAATCTTAGCATGGTTGGTCATTTCGTCTTAAATATGAGCTCTTGCAGAACTGTGAAATATTGCCAAAGCTTATTTTCTGTAATTACTAAAAGGAACAGAATTCAAGAATTTTTCACAATTATGTACCATCTTAATTTTAAAGACAAAGGGTTTAAAGTTAAGACAAAGTGAGATTTGGGGCCTCCAATATTTTCAAATAAGATCGATCAAAGTCTTGATGGGCGAGAATTTTTTTTGCAAGGCATTCTTAATTTCAAAATGATACAATCTAATCTACAACAACAAATTGCGTTGATATAAGCGAAACTCCCTTCACGTCGAGAGGACGTCCCAAGGTGCCGGATCTAATTATTAACATGGCTGAACTCCGTTTTCAAAAATCGAATCCCAGTTAGAACCAAATACATAAACAATAATTTCCAGCTAACAATGATCACATTCCACAACCCTATTCCATAATTCAGACATCTATATGAATAGGGTTTTAAGATTGAAAATGTAGTTTAATACTTAATGTCTATTTTAAAATGCTGTTTATGTATTTTCTAATCCAAGTCAATGGAACCATTAAGAGTTGAAAGCCTAGCCATTGAGAGCTTATTCACATGGTGATTTGGTATATAAAAAGCTATGGCATTGATGTAGTTTTGTCTCTCGTGCATAGTTTTAGTAAATGTACTTACTCCACCTACTGGCAAAAAAAATTCCACCATTCATATTTTATTTTAAATATTCATTGTTATCATCGACAACTCATATTCTACATTTTTTAATTGGCGAAATCTACTTAAGATCAGCATTTTCTCCATAAAATAATCCATCAAGACAAAATTTTGGTGATGAGAAAAGTAATCAAAGATTGTACCACATTAATATAGAAGGATTATTATCTCGTGTTTCAAAGGGTGAAAATTGGGGAAAAACAGATTCATTAAGAGGATAACTATACATGTGAAACAAAGAGGGTAAAGTACAGACAGAACAATTTCCTTTGCTGTCAGACTCATCACTGTTGAAAGGATGTGATCTTATTCATTAACGATCTGTGAGCAAGAGAAGTGGAAGTCTGGTTATGATTCTCAGGAAGTCTGCTGGGGTGGAAGAGAACCATGGCAGGATAGAGTGTATCGCATAAACACAAGTTGATAACAAGGTCAGTTTTACATTACAGTAAGTCTGGCTCTTTGTATGTTTTGCATCAGCATTTACATGCTCTTGTGCGCCAAGCTAAGTAACTTCGGCATTTTTTCCCACAGGAAATTGCTCCTGACTTTCATATTACTGCAGATACAGCATCATAAACAACAGCTCCTGACATTATTAGATAGTACAAATAGTGAAAATGACCATCTCTAAAACCAAAAGTGGCATCTGGATATCATAAGTAGCCTCTTAATAGCAAATTTGTGTGGAATTTCAAATCAACTCCTCTATAATCCTTTCTCAATTGTTATTCTTTACAGCAAAATCAACTGGTTATCTGTAGGAAGTATGGGGGGCGGAAGCGGGAAATAGGAAAAATAATACATAATTAAAGCATTGCAGCAGTGGATGTTTAACTATAAAAGTTTCTGAACTTTAGGTTTGAATTAATTCACAGGGATTTTCCAAGGGGAAAGTTTGCATTCCAAGTTTAGACTCTCAGAGGCACACACCATTCCTGCACTGTCAAAATACTCCTGTATATGAGAACCACATTCCAAACCCAGATATGCTACCTAAACATGGACATTCCTTGTGAATGAGTACTCTCTTCCTTGAGGGATGCATCTTACTTAACTAATTCTGGAGAGTACTAGGCATAGGTTAGCAAGAGCCTAGGTTTAACCAGCTAGAACTTCATTGAAAGTATCGTCTGGCAAGCTTTCCTCTGTTTTTACCATTAGGAACACCCTACAGGATTCTTCCTTCATTTCAATCACCCTCTTACTATGCTTTGGGTTTCCTAAAATTTTCTAAAGAAGACATAGTAAGGTGTGTGCTGACAAAATCTCTTTACAACTTTGGTCAAAAAGAGAGACACATTTCTCAGGGAATGAGACTGAAATTGGTTTATCTCACCAAAAGAGATGGAATACTCATCTGCTAGTAAGGCTGGGTAACACCAATCAATTTTACCAACAATGACAGCCAAACTTAACACTCGTGGTCAGGCTTATGACTCAAACTAGTAACCATCCGGTTAGAAAACTAAGGTTGTTCATGTCAGAGTGGAATGATTAGAATAAAATTTATTTTCATTTAAACCATGATAAGAGATTAGTGCTGCTGCTAGCCATATATTTCAAATTCATCTCACTTTATATAAAACCACGGATTCTTAAATCAGCCTTTCATATCTTTTAATCTACTACTTGCACACATCTTCAAAGCACGTCTACGTGAAGCTTTTCCCGGCTCATATTAAGCATATTGAGCCATCAAAAGCCTCAAAACCTACTGTAGGCGTAAACTCTTTGAAAGATCTCATGAATATTTTCAGTCACTGGCATTTTAAAAGGTTCCTTTCATTTACAGGGAAAATCAATAGCACTATTTTCAGAAGGAGAGCATTGTCAGCTTGTACAAAGTCAATACAATTGCATAATTCCACTTCAGTTATTTCCTTGTATTGCCTAAGGTAAAATTCAAGGAGGGAATGGAAGAGAAACACATCCACAATCCACAAGACAACATACCTACCGACCCAGGTAATACTCCAATATTTACAAATCATGTGCAAACCTCAATATAGTATTAGTGGTGGTTCCAACCTCTCCTCATCATTTAAACACCTTTACAATCAAATAAAACTATATTATGCTGCATCATGTCTGCCCTCTAGTGGCCTGACATGTTAGTATTTATTATGAAAACAGCACGTTAACATTTTAGGTGAGTTGAACCTGACTGCTCCAAGTGAACACATTACTCAGGCCAGAAATGAGAGCTATTCTGTGACTTCATGGTCAGTCATGGAGCTGAAATATTTTTTTTTAATCTCAATTTTATTTCCCTGCTAATTTTGAGTGTCGCCTGGATTGTCAGCTGAAAGTCCCAATGTGGGGCTTCATCCCACAACGTTCTTACTCAGAGGCAAAGAGTGCTACAAACTGTGCCAGAATGGCACCTTGATCCCCAGAACAGTCTGAAATGCACCACTGCAGTTAAATGGAACCCCTCTGAAATGAGGTTGAGAAGGGATATGATTCTGAAAGGTATGATGGATAAAACCCACAAAATGTACACTCAATTCATGTTACAGTCTATTCTGTGAAGCGCTTTGAGACGTATCGAAAACGTGATAAGGCGCAATATCAAATGCAAGGATTATTATCATAAATAGCAAATATCTGCGCTAGTTAGTGAATTGGTAACTGGGGACACAAGTCTAGGATTGTTGTTAGAAGAGTGTGCGTGTGTGTGTGTGGAGGGGGGAAGGAGATCAGAAGTGGTTGCAATCAGGAAGTTATTAGAAAGTGAAATAATTTGCCATGAGAAGCTATGGAGGCCAGAACCATAACAACATTTGAAAAAGAATTGGATAAATTCTTGAAGAAGAATATAGATTCCCTTTTCATATTTCCCTTTACAATGTTCTCTCATCATTACTGCCACAATCTTCCAAGCAAAAAGTAGACTAAGATGAACTGCAGAACTCACTACTGTAGGCCTGCTGCTGATTGACAGATGAGTTAGGACAGGCTTCTCCCTACGTTGATGCAATGTGATACTTTTGGTTTAACCGGCAGCTAGTTTCCTTTCAACATGGACCAACAGCAAGACAATTAGGATACGTCTCTTAAGAAGCCTAGAACCTAGCCTACACTGAACTATAATCAAAAAAATACAGTATATGTTCTGCTGCTCTCAGGGCATCATGAGGTTCGAAGTTTACCATCAATTCCAGTGAAGTCATGTCAATGTCTCTGTACATGTGGCTCTTTGAATTTCAGGAAGCTGCTTCGCATAGATATCATTCCAACTAATGATATATATTTCTGTAGGACACAATTCTCATGTAAGGATAAGTGAATGCTTACCATGATTCATCCATACAGTTTGGTCCTATTATAATGGAGTAGTTGGGGTCCATAAATTCGCAACCAGCTTTATAATGGAGACGTTTGCTGTTTGGCACTTGTGCATTCACTGTATGTGAGAGCAGAAAGACAACTGCTTCAAAATGCCGCCTTGTACATGGGAAGCCAAAGAAAGTGGCCAACTTCTGGGCCATCAAGTCACTGCTGAAGTCAGGCATGCTGGAAAGGCTAGAGCCAAGCTGCTGACCCGGACGTTGGGACATTTTTTAGTTTACAGGAATCCAATTTTCAGGGTATTTGTTTGTTGCATTGGTGATGGGTAATTTTGAAATGGGACGAGTTCCACCTTTGTCAGATGCTGATTTGCAAGATCAGTACTAAAGAGGAAAGGAAACACCACCATACCTGTTGTTTGGTTTGAATTTACCTGACCAAATTTTGCAGTTAAAACCTGTAGTTATTGCCTCACCTGGTGGTAAGAACTTGAGCTGGTTATTGGCTAGACGCAAGTGCCGAAGAGCTCTCAACTGACCAATTTCAGGGCAGAGAATTTCCAATGCATTGTTCGTAAGATCCAGGGATTGAAGCTTAACCAGGGCACCAATGGCTTGTGGAGAGAGAGAGAGAGAGAGAGAGAGATGAATAGTGACTACATTTTCACAAATAACTCATATTAATTGCAAATTGATATAAATTGCTTTAGAAACACTGTAAGGAATTTAACTATAACAGAGCTACAATCTGGTGAACAAATATTGGCAGGAGTAAACAGATTAGCATTCTTGCTTCCCAACAGCATTCTGTGAATCATTCTTACCTTCAGGAATAACTATTATATTATTCGAATGCAAGTATCTAGGAGGAAGAAAAAAAAAGTTTCATCTTAGTTCAGAAAATCATAAGTTAATACATCTGTGGATTTACTACATGATACAATTACAATGTACAATTACAAACTTCTTAAATTCAGCAGTTTGTTTGGTTTATAATTAACTCCATCACTACACACACACACGGCAGAGTTAATGGTGATGGCAACCAAGTCATGATTGTCAGTCAGAGATAAATTCTCCTGTGATGATGTCAAGGCGATAGACGAAACAGTTAAGCGAACTCACAATTCAATGAGGTTTGGAAGTTTCTGTGCAAGATTTTCTGGCTGAAAAGGGAAAAAGAAACTGCAATTAATTTATAAAGGTGTCCAACTTTTAGCACATTGAAAGATTGATATAAGCATAGAAGATCTAGGCTTTTATCAACCAATGCACCTTGATCACGCCTTAAACTCAGCTACAGCTCCCCATCATATCCTTTGCATGTGCGCTGGGAAAGCGGAAGCATTTCATTGGTTGGGATTTTATACCTCCTGCACTGCATTTTAATGTTTTCTGTACTTAGATAGCAAAATCAACACATTCTAGCAAATTAATCTCTAAAGATTTTATGTTCTCTCTAGTTACCGTGATCTAAACTAATGTGATGGTTTTTCTGAATTTTCTGAATTTTCTGTATTTGGTGGGCATCAAGCACAGTGAAATTAACAAAATATGGCCTTTCAAGCAACTCTTGAAAAAATAATTTATTTTAGCATAAGTAACTCCTAACAAAAACAGCAGCAAACATACCAGTGTTATTAGTGAATTCCTCTTCATGTACAAGCGTTCCAAGTATTGCAAGCCATCATCTTTCAATAACTCCTGGGGAAATTTATGCAAATTCCGGTAATTGAGAAACAGATTTCTGTGTTTCTCCAGCTTGGCCACCAAGACAGTCTCCCAAAGGTCAGAGTTCATGATTTTAAACCATTTGACCAACTCTCACAAGGTCAACAATGCACGATGGTCTCTTGAAAGTGGGTTCCTGGGACGGAAAAGGAGAAAGAAAAAATAACACTATCGAGGAGTAGCGACATAATGTTTTCAGCGTATCTTGATAACAAAAAGGAGTTACATAATAGCATATAGCAGGGATATTGACCTGCTTGCTCCCAGACATCAGTAATGACACTTTTTAATTTGGGTAGTGTGTTTTTAATAGGTGGGTGGAGGAAAAAGTGTTTAGAATCTCCTCTCTCTCTCCCTCACTGCCCCAATAATTAAAAGGAAGCCTACACTCTACTCTGAATCCACACCAGGGGAACACAATTTACATAGGGGGTAAATATTAAGGAGAATGGGTTACCAGGAAGGGTAGTCGAGGTCAGGACCCGAGAGTCAATCAAGAAACAGTTTGAGTGCTGGAATGGGGATATGGTCAGGTGTGCATTCTGGAAGGATTAGATCAGACGGGGTGATCTGAACCTCTCCTGTGATATCCAAAACACCGATAAAAGCGAGAGTCGGGTGTGGAGTGGTGGTGGGTGGGGGTGGGGGGGTGGGGAGGGAATCCGTCATTTCAATTCCAGTTTCAAACGTGCGAGACCAGCTCCCGCCGTGGACTCCGAAGCGCCGCGACAACCGGCGCATTTTAGCCTCGGAAGGAAAAGCGTCGCGGACCGCGCCGGCGAGTGACGTGCGGCGTTCCCCGTGCCGCAGAACGGCCGAGTCCCGTTCGCTGTACAGCGCAGTATATTCCTTGGAGGCGCTTTGGGGGCGTCCGGAAGAGCTGATGAGGGGTTGTATCGAATGCAAAGATTATTATTAGTATTATTATAATAAGTGACACCTGCACAATATTGCACTGTGACGGTGTGGGGTGGTTTGGGGTGTGTGTGTGTGTGTGGGGGGGGGGGGGGAGGGGTGGGGCCCGCTGCTCTGGTCAAGTTCCTTGTTGAACCTCGGGGTGGAATACACAGACAATTAAAGCCCGTGACCTGAGGCTGGGGAGGAGCAGGCGGGGGAGGAGAAGGAGTCGCCGGGGCCCAAAGCAACGGGACATATCCGCGGCGTCTCTTTTAAAAAAAACACAGGACAGAGCCCTGAGCTCTGCGCCGCGCACCGCTCGCTCTGTACTCACCATGACAGCCACTCGCTGCTGCCAGACAACCCCGCAAACCCGCTCCTCATTGGCGCTCGTCCGCGCCTCACATCCCCAGCAAGCAGCACGCCCATTGGTCAGCCCGAGCAAAGGGGGCGGGCGGGTTGGGCTTCCCGTTGCGTGCTGGGAAATGTAGTTCTGTGTCCAATAATATTAATAATAATAATCCTTGCATTTGATATAGCGCTTTTCACGTCGGGAGGACGTCCCAAAGCGCTTCACAGAATAGACTGTAAAGTGAATTGACTGTATATTTGTGGGCGAACGCGGCAGCCAATTGCGCACAGCAATGTCCCACAAACAGTCGTAGATTGAAAATGACCAATTTATTATTGTTTTTTTGTTTTTTTGGAGGGATTATTATTAGGCTCTGTGTGCAGTAAGGAAACTTGCCCAAGGTTTTGCCCTCTGCCTGGAATTGAACTCAGGTCTCTCACTTGCAAAGCGAGTGCTCTAACCACTGAGCTACAGGACTCCACATAGTACTACCAATAATAATCCTTGCATTTATACAGCGCCTTATCACGTCTTCGAGACGTCTCACAGCGCTTCACAGGATATGCTGTAAAGTGAATTGACTGTATATTTTGTGAGCGAAAAGCAGCAGCCAATTGCGCACAGCGGTGCCTCACAAAACAGTCGTGGATTGAGTGAACAAATGGTTATTATTGTTATTTTTTTTAAAAATGCAACTTGAAGTTGTTATTTTGTGTCCTGGTCAACAATGTCTCAAATATAATAGGCCATTCACAAAGTGCACAATCATTGCGCTTTACAGTAAACCCTGTGAGGCATTTTCAGACATCCTTCAGATGCAAAAGCCACTCTTATCAAATGTAACGATTATTATTGTTGTTATTTCCTCACTTTAGTTTATAATTTTGCAATTCAATGACATGCAATTTGTGATTTCCTTTGTTTTCCCAGTTATACATAATCTGGCTTTATGTACAATTTATACAACATAATAGCTGGAAATATATGTTACAGTATAAGGAACAATCAGAAAAGTAAGGCAAAATTAATAATCATAATCAAAATGAAACTGACCCCAGATGTTATAAAGCATAATTCTGAAATGATTTTATTACATCATTGGTAATAACGTATTTACTTGACAAACATGAGTGCTTAACAAGCAATGAATTCTATATTCTTCTATATTTAGTTTGAATGAATGGATGTTGAAATCTTCTTATACATCGTGCATGTTCAGTAAGCATTGAGCTGCGGAAAAGAAAAATATATGTGGTCAGCTCTGAGACATTATCCAATGTGAAGGGTGCTATCTAAACGCAATCAGTTGTGATTGTTTAATACATTGATTGCATGACTTGTGTGATATAGCTTCATTTATAGCTTACCAGCCAGGTCTTGCAGTTTATTACGCTCCTCCAAGTTGTATTGAAGTTGTTCCAGAAGTTCGTAGTAACGGAACAGGGAATCTCTTGGCCAGGTCACCTTCTCAGATCCCCGATGAGATTTAAGCAGCTGTATATTTTTATAAGCTTGACTCTCCCATTCTGTATAGAAGGCAAACCAGAATATTTTCAATATTTGATGGTGTTGCTACCTAACAGTTCACACTCTACTTGAATAGGGACCCAGATTTGGGTAGGGATCCAGGATGCTGCGGGGGGGTTAGGTGGGGTTGAGTGCGACGTAAGTTCCCATTTGAGGAACATGATTTGGTTTAAGTTGACTTGGTGGGGACGACCTCGCTCACCAAAGAAATTATATGATACAGTTCAGTGTATTTTGAAACCTTTAAAGGAAATATTGTAAAACTATTAAATATGATATTCAGCAAACACTTTTTCTTACTTGTATTTGATTTCATATGAGAATTATCAGTTAGATGAGGTGAGGTGCCGGGAGGTATACTTTCTTGTTCAGTGGCACTTACATCTGAATCTCCTTGTATTTCTCTGTATAGAAAGAAGCAGAAATTTTAAAGTACTGGATATACTCTTAACATTAGATAGTGGAGAGTCTCGCTGTTTGTTTTGAAATTTATTGTCATTAGTTCACTCAAAGTTAAAATAATATAATCTTGACATGTGATATAATGCCTCATGACATCAAAACATCTCAAAGCACTTCACTGAGTTTTCAGTAAAGTGTAGTAATTGTGGATTTCTAGGCAAACACAGCAGCTGACTGCTGGCCAAGAGAAATCCCTTCTCTTATTGAATAGTGCAATGGGATCTTTAATGTCCACATGAATAGGCAGGTGGACCTCAGTTTAACATCTCATCCGAAGGGCGGCCCTTATGACAATGCATCACACCCCCAGTGCTGCACTGGAGTGCCAGCCTAAACAATGAGTAGTATTTTTTAATCTCATTGCATCTCATGATAATCTATTAATTAAGTACTATCTATTAATACAGTCTCTCTTAAATAACAATGGCAAAAACTCACAATTTGTTTATATTGGACTGGTCCTCCTTCAGGATGTTTGCTGACTCAATCTCCTGAAATGGGTGGGGAGAGGGGGAATAGTGACAATATTATAATGACATTTTTATCATTACACATTTGTAATTTTATATGAAGCTCTAAAATTTTTCTCCCTCAAGGAAACCAGTAGAAACTGTGACGGAGTGACATGTTCTCCAATCTTTTCTATATTGTACAAGGAATCAGACAAAACTTACTCAAGACTCAAGCATCTCTCACGCTGAGCTGAAAAGTCCCAATGTGGGCCTTGAACCCACAGCTTTCTGACTCAGAAGCAAAGTGCTACCAATTGAGCCAGGTTGACATTTGTTGGTGCAGGTGACACAAATTAGCATAGTGAATCCAGGTTGGGAATAATTTGTTTTAGATCCCACTGCCTTACTGAGGCCAAGGTAAAGAAGCAAGCAATATATTTGGTCAGACCTAATTTGGAGTACAATATTGTAATTAGTTTCGGATACCCCATCTCAGGAAGGATATAATAGCAAGGACAATCACCCAAACAAATATCTGCTGTATGCTGTTATATTATTTGATCTATACTGTAAATAGTTTATCATTGCCTAGACTATAACTTTATCTCCTACCTTTGGATCAGCTGTACTTTAAAATAATCTGCTTTCTTTAGAATTTCCATTTGCTGAATTTGTACTGAAAGTTCAGCCCTTATGCTCTGAAAATTGCTCACTGTGAAATGAAAGTTTTAAATTTTTTTTGAAAGTACTGGCATTCAAATCTTGAAACGATGATGCAGAACAAGAAATTTACACGTTAATATTTAACGATGTAGGTGGTGTGGTTCTGGTTTTCTGGGTGGGTGGGGGGGAATTAGAAAATCTGACATTTTACTGTTTTGTAATGCACACTCTATCTAGTGTCCTTGGCTCTTGCCAACCTGTGCCTAATACTTTCTGGAATTAGGGAACCAGCATGTGTCCCTCCAGGGAGAGAATGGTATTGGGTTTCTGCATGTGTCAGATAAACAAGTGACCAAAAAGAAAAATGAAGAGTAACTAATGGGTAATATGGATTGCACAACTCATTGCTTCACAATCTGGTGTTTATCCACTGGTAAATCAGAGGATAAAAGGAATCGCTTTTTTTACAAAAACGTATTGTCCCCACGAAGAAAGGACTTGAGTCGTTAGACCTTGTTATTGTTAAATGGGTATTAAATCAAATAAAACACAGTGCACAGCTATGACACTTTGGAAATGCTCTAATAAAGAGCTGCTCCTTGCGTAAAGCTTAAACTGATCATTTAGTTCTGAAGAATCTTGACATGATTTGTTTTCAACATGGTAGCACTTGACTGAAAAGATAAATCAATGTTTTGCTCACCCATTATCCCTACCATAATGTTTCTGAATATGAAGGAGCCAATCAGGATCCATACAATAATATAGACACCGGTTGAAAATGCGTCCACCTCTTTCACTCGCCACACATCATTAAGAAGTGCGTACCAGTGATCCAATGTAAACAGCTGAAAGAGGGTTTGTAATGCGTTCATGATACCACTGTCAAAAAAAAAAAATTTTTTTAACCACATTATATTCCCAAAGAGAGAGAAAAATATAGTTTCTGTTTTTCTTCCCCAATTTGGAATTTAATTTGTGTTTAAAACCTGCAGGAGAGCAGCTTCCAAATTAAGACTGAATTTAACAATTTTAAGACAATATTGTAGAAGAAGACAAATACGCGCTAACATGTTAACTTCTGTGTCTCTTACATCCCAAAACTAAAGCTTTGTGAAGGTACATTGATTGTTGCAAATCTGTTTTATAATGGCTGCTTTTTCCAGCTGTTTTACAGAGAAACCAGCCCTACATGGTGGGTTCATTCTTCTTGCAATACAGAACCAATGCTGTTCTTTACATTTCTGGAAAATTAAATTACCTAAATGCTTCACGATACATAAGTGTTGAATCATCAGATTTTGTATAGCTAATGAAAAGCTTCACTCCACCAACTGCAAAAACGTAAGCAAACAGCAATACCAACACCAAAATAAATGTCATTGCCTAGAAAGAACAAAAAAGTTTATTGCTAATTTGCAACACACAACCACACAGTTCAGTAATAATAACCCTTGCATTTGATATAGCGTCTTATCACATCGTTGAGATGTCTCAAAGCTTTTCGCAGGATATACTGTAAAGTTGAGTTAGAGATTAAGCCATGATCTAAGTAAATAGCCATGGAGTGAGTGACCAATTTCATTTGGGGGATTGTTGGGAAGAATACCAGGAGAAACCCTCCTAGTTTCTAACAGTGCCACGAGATCTTTAACAGCCACCTGAACAGGCAGACGGGACCTCAGTTTTAACATTGCATCCGAAAGATGGCACCTCCAACAATGCAACACTCTATTGGAGTTTCAACTTAGAATATGTGAGTTCAAGTCCCGACGTAGGATCTTCCATTCAGTATATTCCTTTCAGTATTGTATTCATTGTGAATTGCTATGAAATCATTTGTATACAAATGGGGTAAATTTATGCAAAGCAACAAATGATATTAAATGTAATATTAATTAATATATACTGAGCCTAATCCTGTTAAATTCTACATACAAATTGTTCAGTCCAGTGGATGATCTTGTAAAAGCTATAAGTATGCATACATACATTAGAATATACAGCTCAAAAACAGGCCATTCGGCCCAACTGGTCTATGCCGGTGTTTATGCTCCACATGAGCCTCCTCCTGCCCTTCCTCAACTAAGCCTTCAAGCATATGCTTCTATTCCTTTCTTCCTCATGTACCTATTTAGCTTTCCCTTAAATACATCTATTCTATTTGCCTCAACAACTCCTTGTGGTAGCATGTTCCAGAGCTTTGAAAACTTATATTTGGTCCATTCTTTTTATAAGGAAAATAAATGCAAGATTGTTAAATTCTCATGACTTAGATAAGTTGTGTACAGTTTTTATTAATTTACCTTAAAGGCTTTTGAAATAGCCAACAATATAAGTCGCACTTGATGACATCTTTCCATCTTCTTCAAATACCGGAAAATCCTCAAGGTTCGAAAAACTTTTAAAAAAAAGATATTAATCCCGATCGTCACCTGTGCTCTAAAGATGATGTCTGGTACTATAGACTGGATAATCAAAGAAAAACATAAGAATTAGATAAATGTATTTGAACAACATGACTATAAAATAATTTGTTAAAGCAAATGTTTTTTAAAAAAGTGCAAATATTAAAAAGGTTGTAATTGCTGGGATATAAAAAGATTATTTTATGAACATACTTTGACGTAATTTATTACTTCAATTAACATTTTAACACAAAAGAGCACAGTAGGAAAAGTCATCAGTAGAACTTCCACGGCACAGAAATTATTTTGCTCAATTAAAAAGAATTTAGGCCATTTAAAATCACCTTAATTAAGTCTGCTGCTCCATAATGCACTTGGGATGCATTTTATACATTTCACCTTCTAAATTTTATGGTCACCAGACATATTGGTAGACCAAAATTCACCCCTTATGTAGAAGGCCTACTTCAAAAGTAGCTGGCACTAAAATACCAATAACCGAATGCTTAAATTACCCACTTGTTAACAATATAATGTGTCAAGGTTGATCAGTAAAATAGTAGTTTTTTTGTGAAGTTTTTTTTATAAAAACATAACATAATGATTGCTATTTTAGTATATCTAATTCTGTATCTAAGTAAGCAGATTATATTTCTGTTTGAAAATATATTTCTTGCGATCCTTACCAGAAGTAAAACGAACAAGTCAAATATATTCCACCGATTTGTCCAAAACTTGGGGAAATCATCAAGCCACCTGAGTATGACTTCAGACAGCAAAAATGAAAAGATGCTCCAATCAATGACTTGCAATATTGTCTTCATGGCACTGAATTTTGGATGTGATTTGTCAGAGACGTCTGAGAAAATATTATGTATCATTGACTAAAAATGTCTGCAAATCAACTCACAGTTCCCATTTGATAAGTGTCCGTTGCACAAATTACATTAATAGCCTTTTTAATATTATGCTGTTTATAATAATAACGACAATATATTTTAGCAGCATACTTTCACAAAAAAATAAATCTTTCATATCTTTCATGTATGAGCCTGAATAATGACCACGAGTAGGCTATTTGATCACGAGGATCATTATAGCCAAACCAAATTTGGAATCAAATTAGAAACTAACTCAGGTCTCATCCCCACCCCAAAGGAGGATCATTGTTTTTCATTTTAATAATAAGCATTATATCTTCCATACACACATATATATAGTTTGTTTAAGGCGGACCCAATTATAATACAAGACTGATTAAGCAGTTGTCAAGCTGCCTTGTCATTTCTTTATTACATATTCTATAGTACCATTCTCATGATATGCACTAAGGGAAGATGAATCTTACCTGCTTCTAAGGCAAATACAATTGTGTTAATGATAATGAGATATAGAATAAGGTTCTTGAAAATGTAGCCTAGTTGACTTTGATCAGGAAAACATGTGCCATATTTTTGACCCTAAGATGATTAATAATTTGAATGGTATTAAAAACATCACTATATTAAAGATATTGTTTTATCAAGAATTACATTTAAGGAGATAGTATTAAAGGAACATTAAATATTACTATTAAATCATAGTTGCTGCGGAAATAATGCAAATGCACTTACTATTCAGCCTGTGCAGGCTCTTTATTTAATTCAATTCTATACTTTATTGATGAACATACATACACCATCATACGGTCTCTGACCTTTTGGAATTGTTTTTACTCCCTCTCCTCTTGATGTGTTCTGTTATATCGTGACTTCCTCTTTTATCTTCCTTATATTATTGCTCCTTTTTCCCCAATGCTTCCTTCCCTTTCTGCTTCTTTATCTTTTTCTTTTTTCCATTCCCCCTCCACTACTATATTAGTCTCAGCACTCCCCACTGCACTAGTTACCCACTGAGCAAGGACAATTATTGCAGCCCTGTTTGTGGCTATGAGGAATAATTACATAACTAGGACTCTTCTGCCTCTCCTGAGCGTTCAATAAATTATAAGGATTGACAACAAGTCTGAGAAGGATACTCTGTAAGATCCAGTGAGCGCACATGTTGAGTGGTGGATACTTCACATAACGGTTCTGAAGACGATTTATTTTTCTTTGTTTTAGAATGTCACTTGTTAATCTGACTGGATTAAAATCAAAACGCACCAACTGCAGAGGATCTTCAACCATCAGCTGATTCAATATTCTTGGATCTGCATAGATAATGTATCAAACAATGGTTCACTATCTTCATTGATTTCATTCCTGTTTAAAATGTTTACATATTTTCAACAAATGTCTTTCAGAATTTTTTTTCAGATCTGAATTGTCAGATCAGACTGAAATCATGTGTTGCATTGTGAAGGTATTTACAAAACTCTTTGACAGTGACAGCACCAAATACTAATGAGATCGTACCATTGGGATGGGCATCTGTGAGCAAAGTGGCCTTTTCCTTTTGTTCGTATTAAGAGAATTTAAGAGGCCTTCTTGTGCTCACTATCTATACGAATCATCATAACTCATTCGATTATATCTGAGGCTTGACATCACTTCATGCGACATTTCTTAAGAAAATGAAATCAGTAATTGGCGAAATTCAAGAGATCCAGGAAAACACACACATCTCCTGAATCCAATAGTACTAAAGATAGATCTCAGCTTTCCCAATTTTAGGTGTCACATTCCCGAGTATGCAGTCCTTAGAATTCAAATTGGGTGATCACACAATGTCAGTGCTCCCAAGTCACATTTTTTTGCAATGTTATAGGTGCTATATCAAATGCATCACCATTGATTTTTTTAAAAAAATACTACTTTAATGGGGAGTGTCCTACTTTACATGTTGTGTAATGATATAACATATCCACCATGAGTAAACACTTGAAACTTGCACTTTGTACACCGAGGCTTAGGAAAACAAAACACTGCCCTTTAACTCATCCAACATGCCTCATCTCAGTGGCACGTTGTGCTGAATAAAAAAACAGCAGAGAATTGCACTTACAGCGATTTTTTTATTTTGTTGCTGCCAAGTATGCAGTTCCCTGCAAAAACCAGCAATAAAAGGGCAGTAATTTCAGTTGGTGAAATCCCTTCAAGTTTCATTATTAAGGCCTTATTAAAGGCACTCGACAAAATTCCCAAATTTAAAAAGTTATATTGTAGGGTGTTTGTTAGGCCAGCATAACCTGGTTTACTCAGATTATGGCTGTGAAATTGATACAAAGCAGCAATAACAGTTGGCTTGTGTTTTTCTCCTAGCTGAGGAGGAATAAGTGAATTACAATACATTTTACATTTATATAGCGGCTTTCATGTCAGCAGGACATCTCAAAGCACTTAACGTCTCTTGATGAATTCAATCTGAAATCTACAGAACGTAGAAAACGTTAATGATTCCATGGCAATATAATAATAATAATAGTAATAATAATCCTTGCATTTGATATAGCGCTTTTCACGTCGGGGGGATGTCCCAAAGTGCTTCACAGAACACACTGTAAAGTGAATTGACTGTATATTTGTGGGCGAACGCGGCAGCCAATCGCGCACAGCAATGTCCCACAAACAGTCGTAGATTGAAAATGACCAATTTATTATTGTTTTTGGTTTTGGAGGGATTATTATTAGGCTCTGTGTGGAGTAAGGAAACTTGCCCAAGGTTTCGCCCTGCGTGGAATTGAACTCAGGTCTCTCGTTTGTAAAGCGAGTGCTCTAACCACTGAGCTACAGGACTCCACAAATCTGAAAGGAAAATCAGTGTGATGGCAAAATAAATCTAGATAAATAGATTATTTGTATTTATGTAATAATAACAACAATCCTTCTGTTTGATGTTAGTGGGTTCTAGCTGGTGCAAATAGTTGCTATGTTTGCTTGAACACTACATCTTTCAGATGCTCTGCAGTGTGAAGCGTTCTGTGACATCTTCCCAATATGCAAGACATTATATAAATTTAAATTGTATTATACTGACCTGATAAGTCACTATACAAAACGCAAGTTCAATGTTATTCCTAGTTATGCTGCTGTAACTGTAGTTTCATTAAATTCACCATTACAGAATTTCAGGCGCTAGTTCAATACTAAATTTATTTTGAATAAGCCATTAGCTTACCTGTTTTCCTATGTCTTTTATCTACAGCTCAACCTCATATATCAAATTGCAAAAAGACACCAGTGCATAGATTTATTGCTTATCAAATGCATGGCAATTATTTTAGACAACCAGAATAAATTTTGTCAAATACATTACCTTTAATATCACCCATGTTATATTTGGGATCATTGATGACTAGTCCTTGTAAATGATCCAACAGATTAAAATCTTGAATGAGTTTTGATCGAATAACTTCAGCCAGATGGTTGTCCTTTGAATGCACATAACTATCCTTCTTGTCATCATACATTTGTTCAGAGCTTTTAAAAAGAATTAGAATACATTTGCTATAAAGTGTAAGGTTCAAGTTTAACACTGTGGCTACGTCTTCACGAGACACATTCTAAATTTTAACATTACTAATGTTTAACCAACGAGCTAAATGCACAGTAAAGGTTTTGAAAAGCGTATGTTTCATTTACCCCACAAATGATTTTTTCACCTTGCTGTTTATAAATCTTATAAATTCCATGCAGTCAAATTATTGACAGGAGTTATTTTGGCACAGTATTCTTTATAAATTAATACCATCATCAAATGTTATCACTTTTTTGATCATTCACGAAATACAGTGGTATTATTTGAGTGGGATTTGGAGTTAAATTTACAAATGAGAGAATTGTAGCATCTCTGAACTTCACAACAATGGTAGAGATTTTACATCAACAACAGCTATTTCTTCTTTCTTGACCATACCACCCATTTAGAAGAGAATATGTCTGAATACCTAATGGCTATACTGTATATCTTTGGAGTTTTTTTTCTTATACATCATGAAAGGCAAAAGCATTCTCTGAACAATAACTATAAACCACATTTGACGATGCTGCTTACCTTGTTTTTCCTCACACTGGATTTCTATAGGCATTAACTAATAATCTTTGTCCTGTTCTGTCATTTTCAGTTTAAAAATGTTTTTAAAAAACATGTATTATCCCCTGGATTGAGTTCTAAGATTATATTTTATCATAAATCCTAATTTTTTACTGCTCTCTCTGAACTGCTAACAGGTGCCAAGGCTGCCTCTTTACAATAAGAATTTGATTTAGTTTTGAAAGTGGAATCCAGAAAGATATTCACTATCTTTGTCACAGTAACTGCTCTGATGTCACAGTGACTTTGACATGACAGTGTCATTGTCTTTCGTATTTTTCTTCTTAATATCAGTCCCAATATCAACAACAAAAGATTTGCAAAAAATGATCATGTTTAAAATAGTTTACAATAGTTTATTAGCTTTACATAAAAAAATGTTCTTGAGCAGTTATGGTTTGCTAGCCCCACTGAATTGTGTGCTCCATGTTTTATAAAATGGATTGGAGCCATCAACAGGGCATAAGACCTATTCTATTTACTATGTCATGTATAATGCAAGAGTATACTGAACATTGAAGTGCTAGTGAATGAACAAATATACCTTCTGATAGCAGTTTTCACCGTGTTGTTTGAACGTTTTTGCTGCTTCACCTTCATAGGCCATCATCACTACTCCATCTCTACTGCCTTTCCAGAGATCAGCTGAAAGATACTGTATGTAGTCCTGATGTTTAAGCATGACTGCTAAAAGGAATGAGACGACAATCGTGCAAAATGGAGCAATTTCTCTTTAATTTTATATTGACCCCATTCCCATGCACATCATTTTTTCACAAAAATGGCTTTTATACTACACTATTTGTCATGAAAAGTTGCAAGCTGCCCAGGAAGATTTGCGGGTGAATTGCTGGATCCCTGCTGCTGAAACCATTTCGGGCCAAACTAAACCTTTTATGTCTGAATCAATAACAACTGAAACAGTCTTACGGAGCTGTAAAATAACAACGTAGGCCATCTCATATTCAAACTGCCTATATACCAATAGTATAAAGAATTGTGTGACTTCCTTTTCCATCAATTTGAGTGGTATCCAAGTAGATTCATTTATTTCTAATTTGTGATAACCGAAAATTACTTATGCAAAGTTGAAAGATGATGTTACAAATCCTGAGAGGGAGTTGATAGGGAATGAGACAAAGTAAAAGTTGGGCAAAAACAAACGCTATTTTATTTGGCATTTTCCTGCGCAAAATAAGTCTACAATGTTGCTAATTTATTTGGCCATACTTATGCACAGATATCGTTTTTGTATTCTCCCACCAAAACAATTATTTTGTTGCTTATAAAGTCGAAAAATGACATAAGAGTACAATGCAACAATAACAATTCATAATTATATAGCGGAATGATGGATAAAGTACTTCACATGAAGCCCGAGTATCCAGTCGGAGTCGCTGTGTGGGGAGATAAGATGAAGAGAAAGGGATAAGTGACCGAAAGTACAGTCGAAAAGATGTTTTAGGTCAGATTTTGAAGGGAAGTGGGCAGCAAGGCAGAGGGACTCTGGGTGCAATAAGGCTCTATATCAAATGCAAGAATTATTGTTGTTATTAATTCACTAGTGTGCAGAGTTCTGGATGGTCTGCAGCTTGTGTAGGGAAGAGCTGTGTGTGAGCATGTGGGTGGAGGCTCCCAATTAAAATTGAGTGGGTCACTTCATGAGTTTGTGGGACGCTATTGTGTGCAAATTGGCTGCCGGATCGACCTACAAAACACACAAACTGCCACAATTTCACAGCAAAACCCTGCACAGGCGCTTCGAGACGTCGTCACCTGGGTGCGAAAAAGCGCTGTACTCGAATGTAAAGATTACTGGGCTTTTTACATTATAATAATAATCCTTGCACTTGATATACCACTTTTCACTTCTTCTAGACGTCTCACAGCGCTTCACAGAATATACTGTAAAAGTGAATTGACTGTATATTTGTGGGCGAACGCGGCAGCCATTTGCACACAGCAATGTCCCACAAACAGTCGTAGATTGAAAATGACCAATTTTTATTATTGTTTTTGGTTTTGGAGGGATTATTATTAGGCTCTGTGTGGAGTAACGAAACTTGCCCAAGGTTCTCGCCCTGACCTGCCTGGAATTGACATATAATGACATAGAGTCTCTCGCTTGCAAAGCGAGCGCTCTAACCCCTGAGCTACAGGACTCCACGTATCCATTTACGTACCAAGAGTAGTAACAACAACAACAATCCTTGCATTCGACACGGCGCGACCTCACGTCTGCCAGACGTCTCGAAGTGGCGGGCGCAGAATAAATCGGCCGCGAGGCGAACTGACCGCGCGGGCGAAAGTGCGAGCCCGTAAATAGAGAGAGAAAAAAAAAACCACGAAGAGCTGCGGTCCAAGTTTTAACTCGAGGCACAAACTTTGCCGGGTTTTGGTCCAGGACCCCCCCCAAACCCCCACCCACCTCCCTCACACCCCCCAATCCCCACCCACCCACCTCCCTCACACCCCCCAACCCCACCCACCCACCCACCTCCCTCACACCCCCCCCAACCCCCACCCACCTCCCTCACACCCCACCACCCCCAGACCCCCACCCACCTCCCTCACACCCACCCCTCCCTCACACACCCCACCAACCCCAGACCCCCACCCACCTCCCTCACACCCACCCCCCATCACACCCCCCCAACCCCCCACCCCTCCCTCACACCCCCCCAACCCCCACCCCTCCCTCACACCCCCCAACCCCCACCCACCTCCCTCACACCCCCCCAACCCCCACCCACCTCCCTCACACACCCCCAGACCCCCACCCGCCTCCCTCACACCCCTCCAACCCCCAGACCCCCACCCACCTCCCTCACACCCACCCCTCCCTCACACCCCCCCAACCCCCAGACCCCCATCCCTCCCTCACCCCCCCCCCCCCTCACACCCACCCCTCCCTCACACACCCCCAACCCCCAGACCCCCATCCCTCCCTCACCCCCCCAGACCCCCCCCTCCCTCACACTCCCCCCCCCCCCACACCCTCTTCTAGGAGTTCCCTGATTGGGTTTTTGCCGGTCCTTGTGATGTGGCGAAGACCCAATAGCCATACGCCACACTCGGGGCGGTTGCACTTTCTCTTTCCGCTTCGACTGAGTGCGGTGCAGTGGGGAGGACGGGAGAGGAGGAGGAAAGAGAAAGAGAGAGAGAGAAAGAAAGAAAGAAAGAAGGAAAGAAAGAAAGTAAAAAGAAAAGGAAGAAAACCCCCCTCCCTCTCCCCAACCAACAGCACCTTCTTTTCCTCACGATGCTTCCCTCGCGGCCGCTGGCCCTGCTCCTGCTCCTGGCCTGCACTCTGGGGCCCTTCGCCCCGGTCCTGGCCAGCGATGTGCTCGACCTGACCGACGGCGACTTCCAGGAGAAGGTGGTGGACCACGAATTGATGCTGGTCGAGTTCTTCGCTCCCTGGTGAGTGGAGAGTGGGAGTGGGTGAGTGTGAGAGTGAGGAGTGAGTGTGAGAGTGAGTGTGTCAGCCTTACACACACACACACACACACACAGAGAGAGAGCTGACAGTGTGTGTGTGTGGTGTGAGAGAGAGAGAGAGAGAGAGGCCCAGGTGAGGGGAGAGCTTCACTGCTCCCGTTACCTCGACCGCCAACCACTCCACCCATGACCTACCCCTTCTCTCTCTCTCTTTCCCTTTCTCTCCTCCCTTTCTCCTTCCCTCCTCTTTCTCCCTCCTTCCCTCCCTCCCTCCCTGTATCTTTCAACGAGAGCTCCTGACAGCCATTCCCCCCTCTCCCCTGGGACAAGGGAACCGCCGGCAAAGACTAGGCCCCGGGCGTCTCTTCCCCCCCCCTGTCTGTCTGTCTGTGTCGGGGGTGGGGGGAGAGACCCGAGGAGGTAAACGTAACTAATGGCGCAGTTACCGCTCGCCAGGAAACGGTGGTTTTTTTTCCCCCTCTCCCCGGGGTGTGGGGGGAGAGGAGGTTACGCGAGCACCGAGTGGCCTCCATTTGCGCGCCTCCCCCGCGCGGGCCTGAGCGTTATAATATGGGTCGGTTGGAGGAGGGGAGGGGTGGGGGCTGTTACTGCACAACTGAGCTGATTACCCCCCACTCCCACTCCCCTTTCCGCCCGACCACAGTCAGTCGACCGGGCTCTTCCTCACCCCCCCCCCCCCCCCCTCCCCGGTCCCCGTGCGCTGCCCATCACTGCTATGCGGGAGCTGTAGTTCCCTCCACCCTCGAGGGCCGCTCTCTGTCTCTGTCCCTCTCCTCTCCCCCCCCCAGTCTCTCTCTCTCTGTCCCCACTCGCTGTCTTTCTCTCCCTCTGTGTCCCTATCCCCTGTCTGTCTCTCCTCTCTTTCCCTTTGTCTGTTCCCCACTGTCTTTCTCCCCTCATGTCAATGTGTGTGTGTGTCCCCCCCCTCTCTCTCTCTCTCTCTCTGGGTCATTCTCTCTGTGGGTCTCTCTGTCTTTCTCTTCTGTCATTCTCTCTCTTCTGTGTCATTCTCTCTTTCTCCGTGTCTCTTCCTCTGTATCTATCTCAATGTCTCTGTCTCACTCTTATCTCTCTATCTCTATGTCTGTGTCTCTCGCTCCATCTCTCTCTCTGTCTGTCTCTCTCACTCTACCTCTCTCTGTGTGTCTCACTCTATCTCTGTGTCTGTGTCTCTCACTCTGTCTCTCTCTCTGTCTCACTCTATCTCTCTGACTCTCTGTGTGTCTTCCTGTCTCACTCTCTCTGTGTGTCTCTCACTCTATCTCTGTCTCTCTGCGTGTCTCACTGTCTCTCTCTCTCTCACTCTCTCCCTGTGTCCTTCTTTCCTTCCCTGGCGTTGAGACAGACTACAACTCCCAGGGTGCACCGGGCGCGCAGCCCGTTCCCGTGGCCGGCGCCTATTGGTGGGCAGACACCCTGTGGCCACCGCTGATTGGCTGACGCGAGGCGCCGATGTCCCGCCCACTGCTTGACCAGCAACACTGGTCCCCCCCCCCACACCCACACACACACACACTGTAGCCCCAACATGGTGCCCTGCACCCCATCTCTTCACTCCATGCACCAACCCCCACCCCGGCGTCGTCCGTCGCCACCAACCCCCGCTTCATCCGTCACCCCCCCATCGTCCATCACCACCACCCCCCGCCTCGTCCGCCATCACAACCCCCTCCCCCCCCACCCCAAGTCCTCCATCACCCTCCCCTCCTCTCCAAGTCCACTGTCCCCAAATCCCTCTCAAGTCCTGCCCCCCCCCCCCCCAATTCCGGGCTCCATCCAACTCCCGGCTCAAGTGACTTTTGCCCCCACCGTCCACCAGTGACCCAACACTCTCTTTCTGCCCGCGGCTCATCGGAGCCGACGACAGCAACAACTACGCATTCGTACCGTGCCCCTCATGCAGGTTAGCGTCCCAGAGCGCCGGCACTGCACAATCCTGTCTTTTCCACGTTCTGTCTGTCCCTTGAACGGATGGATGACAGTTCCACGTTTTGCACATGAGGTTACTCACTTGAACGCGGGCGTGTGTCACCGCACACGGATTACGGTAATTCCCAAAGTGCTGCTTCAAATGGTATTTTGGTTCATAGATTTGCAATTAAATCAACATCGCAAAATTTAGACTCGTTTCTTTTTCTGCCCCCCCCCCCTTTCCCCCACCGTTCGCAAATTAAGTGCACGTTGCAATTTCGTACAAATATAAACTACTGATGGTTTTGGCGAATTGCAGTGGCAATGAAATGTGGCATCCTATCAGTTCGCCTGCTCTTCCCAATTTCAGCACCAATCTCTCTTTAGTTTGTTTCCTATTACCTGTGTAAAATGGAGCTGGAAGTCAATTCCTTTACACAGCAGAAGAGAGGTGAAGGTAAATTTCTCTTAATAATTCTGATCAAAGGTCAATTGGATAACATTTGATCACAGATATATTCCCATTTGGATCTGTTATTCCATAAGCATTCGTTCTTTACCTGCAGGTGTGGACATTGCAAACGCTTGGCTCCAGAATATGAATCTGCTGCTACAAGGTTGAAAGGAAAAGTTCCTCTGGCTAAGGTGTGTCACCAGCTGAGTGCCGACATGTACTGACACCATGAATTTCAATATGTTTGCGGTTTTAAGTCCAAAATTAACCATTGAGCTGTATTCCAAATATGCAGACCTCAAATGGTGGGCAAGTGTTTACAATAAATAAATATTTTACTATAATAACCATGTAGTGATAACACATTAAAACTCCTCGCTGATCAAATATTGACAGATGCATCTTTCTTCCTGAACCTTGAACGCTAGGTCACAAGTTAATTTGCTTAAAATGTTTCTGTGTTCAGACAATGTACTTGACATTTCAGTTGCTAAAGTCGTGCAGATTAACATCCACAGTTATGGTTCTTAAGGGGTGAAGTAATCAGAAAGTGTTTATGCTTCACGATTCACAGCAGTTTGCTGGTACAGGGCCATTCTGCTATAACCCTGCCTCACTACAGGGTGAGTTAGCTTGTACTGACATTGCTACGTGCAAGAGAATGTCATTGATGTTGTTTGCTGCACAGTATTCGCAGGAAATACAGCTAATGTCTTTTCCTGCATGCTATTCACATAAAAGGCATCTGATTTCACTTTGAATGTAGTGCTGACGTCAAAGTAGGTATCTGGCCATCTTTTTCATTTTAATGCTGCAGTCTGAGAATAAGCTGTGTAAAATAAAATGATGACCACTGGTACGGATTGAGGTCAATTACACAGATATAGTCAACCTGATGCATAGAACGCCACAGTTTTAAGATTCAATGTAGCATCTAATAAGTAGGTGTAGGTGCAGTTGGAATCAGTTGTGTTTCATGGAGCATCCTATATAAAATCATTCCTATTTAAAAGTGAGTGAAATAAATGTTTTTTTGTCCACTAACATTATATTCCATGCTTTTTCTCTTAACCAGGTTGACTGCACTGCGAATACAGAAACATGTAACAAGTTCGGGGTCAGTGGCTACCCAACCTTGAAGATATTCCGCGATGGTGAAGAATCTGGTGATTATGACGGACCCAGAACAGCAGGTAAACATTTTGCGTTGATGAAAATAACAATTTGTCACATATTGGATTCTAGCAGTGCTTAACGGTTACGTTTATTCTGTCAGTGGTGGCTGAAGTTCTGGCAATGCCATGATCCAAGATATCCTTGCTCATTGCAGGGACCGTTGATTTGCACGCATTTAGATCACTGCAGTAACCTCTCTCGTGTGTTCTCTCTGCATAGATGGAATCGTCACCACCCTGAAGAAGCAAGCAGGACCCAGCTCTGTAGAAATTAAAACCGCTGAAGAATTGGAACTCTTTATTAATGATATCGATGGCTCTGTTGTTGGTGAGTGTCTCCTAATAAACCGGTTTGTGGTGCACATTGCAATTTGGGATTGCCTCCATTTCGCCAGTCAAAATTAAAAACATGGGGTAACCTTAATACTAAAAGGCCCCATATTGGTTAGAACCTGTGGAAGATTGCGTTTGGTTTGTTGGTTCCATTGACTGTACAAGAGTTTAGCTGGGATTTGATACGTCCGAAAAACTGGACATGCTTGTGGATGTTGGTGGGGTGGGAGGGATTGCTATATTGCCTTTTACTGGGTAGGAATGATGTCTTGTTGAGAAACCCACAATGCTGTGGAAATCTGTCTTTAATGTTGAGTTTATACAACTCTTTAGCAACGGCTAATTTGTATATTAATCTGTCATTTCTGTTGTGCAGGTTTCTTTGCGGATTCCAGTAGTGCTTCCCAGGCAGAATTCACTAAAGCAGCAAACGCGCAGAGGGACAACTATCGATTTGGGCAAACCAATTCAAAAGACTTACTTCAGCAGTACCAAATTGATGATGAGTGAGTACCAAATTGCATTGTCACTTATTCGTACCTTCTCATTGCAAAGCACGGGAGATGTTTACGCCAAAGTTTTTTTTTATTCTGTGGGTCTGTTTGTCAGTGGTCTTTTAACAGTAAACCTCACACCATTCCTCTTCTGCTCTCCTATGAAACTGTTAGCTCTCACTGCATTCTGTAAGGATCAAGAAGTGGTTAGTGACTTAGAACCAAAGGTTAGCCTAATTTTTCTGCTGAGGTGCATGTTTTTTATGATTGCTCACGCAAATAACCGATGAAGTCTTTCCAGGGTTTATCCTTTTGTTTAGGCTTTTAAGTGATAGTTTGGAAGTAGTAATTAGGTGGCAGTCTCTATCACATTTGTTTTGTATAACAAAATATAATGGACTTTCTGACATTCTAGGGGCTGTGTTGTACCCCCACAGTGGCATTTTGATTAATTACCCCATTATTTGACTTTGGAGAAGACAGTATCTCGTTACAAAGAGCTGGGAATGAGTGGATGAAGTTTTCTCATTCCTGTGCTCTTGTGTGAAGCTATTCTTCATCATCAAACATTAGTTCAGAATATTCATCAATTTCAGTAACCACTTTATGTAATTCCATGACCAGAAGCAAAATGTATTGATTGTTTCCTATGTGCCGACATTCAATAAGAACCTGTCTAGATTTGTCTTCACTAAAACCCTGTGTAAAATACTTGTGTTTTTTTTTTTGACAGGGCTGTTATCTTGTTCCGCCCTCCAAAACTGGCAAACAAGTTCGAGGACAGCATTGTGAAGTACACGGAAGGGAAGTTCACCAATGCAAAACTCAAAAAATTTATTCAGGAAAACATGTACGTCCAGATTCCATTACTCATTGCTAGCATTGTATTTGTGAAGTGGTTAATTTCTCTGGGCATGGGCCCTGATTACTTATGGCATTTATCAAATTCTTGTGTGTTGAGTTGCAACGTGCTTTAGAGAGATTTTAAGCTTCTGCATCAGCTGCCAGCCAAAAGAAATCCCAAAATATTACTTTTGATTTTTGGTTCATTATTGAAACTGATATTGCGGGAAGTGATTTTGTTTGCGTTTTGAAACTCAATGATTTTTTTTCATTCAATTGCAGCTTTGGTATCTGCCCCCACATGACAGAGGATAACAAAGATCAGATGAAGAACAAAGATATGCTCGTGGCTTATTACGATGTAGACTACGAGAAAAAATCCTAAGGGTTCCAACTACTGGAGAAATAGGTATTTACAGTGTGTTTCGACCTGCTGATTTCACTCATTTGCTCAGGAGAAAAACCTAATGCAGTTTGTACTTTTTTAAATCATATAATTCACATTCCTCGTATAAGATAACTACAACAACAACAACAACAACAACAAGATTCCATTTATAGAGCGCCTTTCACGTCAGGAGGACGTCCCAAGGCGCTGCACAGTTGGGTCATGACCCGAGCAGGGGGGAAATGGTCAGGGTGAGGGGATTAATTGGCAAAAGTGAGGCAGGAAGTAACGGGATAAACATCTTTCTACCAGCTTTCAGATTGGGTAGTTATACTTCTAGTTTCTGCACAACACAGAAACGCCCATAATTCAAATGATTGTAAAGCTTACAGTACTGGCTGGTTGGTATCATAGTAAACAATCCGTGAATCTAATGCCTTGCCTTATGTTGAAACATCACAACGCACCACATTTTTTCTGTAGAGCGTAGTGATTGTATTTTTTTATTTTTTTAAAAAGATGATCTTGACCTGCTGGGTTTTGTTTTCCTCTAGTGGCCATAAACCTCCATTGATTACGTCTTTATTTTTCCATAGTTCTTGCGTTTTGGCCATGGTTATTGAAACCTCTTCTGTGTTTCCAACTTTGCAGAGTTATGCTCGTTGCCAAGAAATTCCTGGATGCTGGTCAGAAGTTGCACTTTGCTGTTGCCAGCCACAAATCCTTCAGCCACGATCTCTCAGAATTCGGCTTGGACAGTGCCTCTGGGTGAGGGTTCCTGTGGTGGCGATCAAAACCACCAAGGGGGATAAATACGTGATGCATGAGGAGTTCACGTAAGTATTCTGCAGGAATGTGCAGCAGGAAATGAAGAGCCCCCTTTGTGTCTCACTGTGTTAAAAGTGCCTTTAGCTGTGAATAACTGGGACAAAACAAATACGATTTTAGGAAATGATTTCAATGTAATGGAATCTGCGGGGTGCACTCCAGTAAACTTCTAGGTTGAAATAATACTAGTGAAATGCACAACCTAATTTTTGTTTCAAGGCATGTGAAATGCATGATGTAAGATTGCTGATCCCATATTGCAGCATATTGATTGTGTTGAAGTCAGCCAGTAGGTTTGCTGTAGGTGGAACAGAGGTCAAAGGTTTGTGTGGAATTTCCTTAGAGCTCAGCAAGTTCATTCAGTGAACGACTGAGCCGTACAGATCAGGAATATTTAGGCCTCAATGCCTGAGCTACTGAGGTAGCAGGTGAGATACAAAATCCTCTAAAAAATGACCTAAACCTTTGCATAAGAGAGGGGAGGGGGGAATATCTTCTGGTCGTTACCCACCAACCTTCTGGAGATGTACGTGAGTGAAGGCAAAATTGCACTTGACTGCAATTGCTCTCCTACGGTAGAATAGGCTATGTCGGAGCATAATTAAAAAAGCTTTTAGTAAAGAGCAGAAAATTTGTGAACACGTTTTTATTAAAAAAAATCCTTTTTATCTCTTCAGTCGCAATGGCAAAGCCCTAGAACTTTTCCTTCAGGATTATTTTGATGGCAAGCTGAAACGTTACCTGAAATCGGAGCCAATTCCAGAAAACAATGATGGGCCTGTGAAGGTAGGTCCTCGCGGTGTTTTAGATGATCTTCAGTCGTGTGCCTGTTGTACTTCCTCTTCCTCTCACCACAAAATATGGGTGAAACCCTATTGATAATGCCTGCATTTACCTTTTATTTTGTACCGTACAACAATAACATGATTAGCATTGCAAAACCTTTTGTATGCCTGACTCCCAGGATGGTGTCCGTCTAAATTATTAGCCTGGAGATCTAACTGTTCTATGCTTAATCCTCTTCCCTGCCCCTCCCTTGGCTCCTAGCTTCGGCTCAGGTGCTAAGCCAGTACTGTTGGGCACCTTGGGGCATCCTGCTGAAGTGAAAGGCGCTGTATAAGTGTAAATTTGTATTGTATCACTTTTCACGGCTGTTAGGTGCAAGCACCTCACTTTTCTAAATTGTTTGTTTAACCTGTTTCAATCCAATCCTGAATCCCATTAAATGTTTACTGGCGTTACGGAAATAGTTTTGAAAGGGGAGAGGAGTTGTTACACAGTTTGAAATGGGATCGTACTTTTCCATTCTTTATGATGCACCGAAGCACAGTATTTCCAAGGAAACTTCACAAGCTATTTGTCTTCTGAAACCCACTAAAACAAGTTTGCTCTTACAAGGGATTATATGATCAATTCGTTTTGGAAATGTATTTGCACAAATGGAACTCCTGCCACATTTGCTGCTTTTTCACAAACGCTTTCTTCTTGCAGGTTCTGGTAGCTGAGAACTTTGATGAAATTGTGAACGACGACACCAAGGATGTGCTGATTGAATTCTACGCTCCCTGGTGTGGCCACTGCAAGAGTTTGGAGCCAAAATATAAGGAGCTCGGAGAGAAGGTTGGAACGTGTTCTGTCGCCCAACCCAGTTATTGAGCAAAATTAACCTTATTTTTAAAAAAAATATATACACACTTTCACTATTTATCTTAACAGTTGGCAGCTGATCCCAACATTGTTATTGCTAAGATGGATGCAACAGCCAATGATGTGCCTTCACCTTATGAAGTCCGAGGGTAAGAACAAAATAAACTAACTTGAATGCTTCGATCTTTACAAGTTTTACAAATATAAGTTGTTGTTTTACTACTTCTTTCTGAAATTCTTAATGCAATCTATTTTACTTTCAGGTTCCCTACAATTTATTTTTCCCCAATGGGCAAAAAGCAAAGTCCAAAGAAATATGAGGTAGGTCTTGTAACCTAAATCCTAGCATACTTAAACACCCAAAAATGAATCACGTGTTTCACGTCCTTGTGTATGTAAGATCTCTACCTGACTCCCACTTCTGTGTCATCTCTATAAAGTCAGAGTAGCAAGGGTGGAATTTAGATGTTCATTCTCTCCCTTGAAATTTTCAATTCAGCTTTCTTCTTTATTATTCTCTTCTATTATTTGATGTCTTTTTTTACATAATGGCATTAGCTGTGATTTCACAACATCGTTTCGAGGATTAAAACATATCTTCCTGAGGTCGTTCTCTAATTGTAATGAAACCATTTTTATAGCATCTTTCTGGTCAATGCATTTATCCATCCAAGTGCAAGACGTGGCCTATTGAAAACTCATTTCCTGTCAATTTTTTAGAGTGGAAATGAATATCAATTTCAGCAGCAAACTGAGAAAGGAATTTTGACCACATTAGTGGGTTGGTCTAACGAGCGAGTTTACTGTAATGTAATGTTGAAATAAAAATAACTGGAAGGGAGAGTGGGATGCTAGACAAAGTGAGTATCCACTGTAGGTTAATGCTGCTTGGAACAAACTGAAGGTAGACTTTGCACTGACCATTTCTGTTAATCCAGGGAGGGCGTGAAATAAATGACTTACTTGGCTACTTGAAGAAAGAAGCTAAATACCCACCTGCTGTGGAGTTGGAGGACAAGAAATCGAAAAAGAAGAAGGGAAAGAAGGAAGAGTTGTAAATTGCTCACTTAATAAACGCACCTCATCTGTGAAAATATCGGGATATGCAAGAAGTAATTGGAACCAGGCTTGGGTTAGAGAGATCTGTGGTGGTGGTGGTGTCACTTTCTAAGAAAAATCCATAATTGGCCATTCTAGTCCCATTCTGTATCAAATTTTTAACATGCACTATTGACATTGACAAGTTACTGAATCTCAAAAGGGGCAGAAATATTCAGGTTTTGTTTTGGTCTTATTTTGTACTGGTGAATGTTTTTGTACATTTTGAACAATAAACCCCTTTAAACCGAACTGAATGCATTTGGGTTTTTGTGTGCGCCAAAGGGTTTTGTTTCCATTTAGAGAGTCATTGGGTTGGAATTTTTGTGCATGACTTAAATCGTTGATGGTTACGGTATTTAATCTGGCCTGTATTAGAACTACTTTTATCCTTTATTAGTGAAGGTAATCAATACTCGTAGCTTCAGGTCTGTAAACTGTTAGTTTCGTCTAGGTGCAGGATAGGCTAGAACTTTTTTTTAAAAAAAACTCAACTTATGCTATTTATGATTGCCCAATGCATGCATTGTAAAAATTTATATACTAAAATCACTCTTAGTCGGTTACGTTACTAGTGCATGATGCTCTTATACGGACAAGTAATGCATTGAATAGTTGCATTAAGATCTGTAGGCAACAATAATGCAGTTCTGGTCCCAAATCTTAAGTGGTTCCCTTCGAAAATTCGCTTCCCACTTTGAAAATTGTTTCTGCTCCTGAATTCCATATTGAATGTATTTGTTCCCTGAGGGAGAGAATGGAAACCAACAACAATCCAATATTGCTCTTAGCTTGTAACTGAGAGATGCAAATGTATTTTGGGGCATTTTCAATCTTAGAATTTGCCTGCTTGCTGCTGGTTCCTTTTGGCTTTATTATTTTATCACCAGAGAGTTATGGTGGGAACTTTCTGGTCAAGCCAAAACCTATAATTCTGTCTGTAGGAAATTGGTAATAGCAATAACTAACGTTGGGCAGTATGTAGCAGGAATTGTGTTCACTGTAGTCTTTGACTGCACTTAAATCTTGTGTATTGTTGGCCAAAGACCCACATGCATTTGGAATAAAAAAAATTCAGCCACATTGTGAATTCCAAATAGATGTCCATAATTTCAGTTTGCTGAAGCATCATACCTGGTACCTAACGTTGCCTACAAAAATACAGCTTTACAGTGAATCCTCGAGAAGTGCCTTGACATGTCTTCCTGACTTGAAACGTGCTATTATCGATTGCAAGGATTATTTTCTTTCAGGTGTGTTTGACCTGCTAAGTATTACTGTTTTTCTTGCAGATTTTCCAACAGTTGCAGTTGTATTTCCACTCATCGAATTTCCTGCTTTATAATATTGCCAACATAATAATCCTTGCGTTTGATCTAGCACCTTAGTGCGTCATTGAGATGTATCAGCGCTTCACAAGATTTTACTTTGAAGAGTTGGGACCATTTTGTAGTCAAATGCGGCAGCCAGTTTGCGTACAGCAATGTCCCACAAACAGCTATGAAATAAAGGATCTCTTAAAGTAACTCACCACAAGAGGGCATTGTGACACTATATTCAAATGATGTGGACAAATCCAGTGTTAGCTTGGTCGTCATTATTCATTTCTACTGGCGGATAATGATTCACTTCCATTGTAATCTCCATACAGCCTCTGCTTTAAATTGTAGAAATCACCTTTGCACAAAAAGTGGCAGTTTCTATTGTAAATTAATTTTTAATTTACAATGTAAATGTCATTTTCACTTTACAATTAATTTGTAATTTACAAAGTAAATGTCATTTTGGAAAATCTAGACACCACATATGTATCTGACCTATTCACTTCAACTAAATCACCGGAGCAAAACGAGAAGATAAATTACATGCCATTCTATGGTAACAACTAGCTATTTAAATAAGACATTCTTCTAATTGCAAGTTGAAACTGCTTCTTAAGGAAATTGTATTCCACGAGATAGAAATATTTAGGTGTTTGCAGTGAATCTGTACATGTTTTCTCAGTTGAAAGGAATAGGATTTAAAGCAGAACTGCTTTTTTTTTAAACTGATGATTTTTCTCCAATTTGCTTCCGTCGCTTCCTGTTCCCAGATGTCATTTGACTTATTTTTACTCTTGAATTCATCCACTTGTACCGATCACTTTCTAAAAGGAGACAGAAGCACTCCCAGTCTCATATAACTTGTACGTGAAGTGATCACTTTAGTCAAATGCAGTGGACCGGTGGCATAGATGGAGCATTGCCCCAGTAAAGGGTTACAAAAAAAGGAGAAATTGAGGGGAGAATGATGACATCTCCACATATGTTTGCACTTTGTTAATGTTAATGAAATCACTGGAGAATTGAGCGAGCTATGCTGGAATATAATGCAAATGTAACCTTGCACCACACTCGCATTTGAATTTAATGAAAGCAGAAATATGAGGAAGCATTCTCCATATCCAGCGAAGCTGCTTCTGCAAATAGATCGGGATGGTTGGATTCCTACAGATAAGGAAAGATTATGAACCAGACAAACTTGAATGTTACTCCCAATACATTCCATCAATATAATGAATTTTGAAATACCAGAGCACTGGGTTGTGTTCCCAGCAACAGTACGCATTTCCTGTAAAGATAATGTAAACACACAATTTCCGTGTGAGTTTTATTTTAATTTAAGAACTTAAATCATCCTTTTCTCATCAACACTTACACCAAGAGCATATTGCATACTAGTCAGGCCCTATTTGACCCTCCAGATCATTAATTCAAGTTTTAAAGGGTGATTCAGTGCAACAACAACAACAAGATTCCATTTATAAAGCGCCTTTCACGTCAGGAGGACGTCCCAAGGCGCTGCACAGTTGGGTCATGACCCGAGCAGGGGGGAAATGGTCAGGGTGAGGGGAGGGAAGGGAGGGAGCGAGGAGGGGGGAAATGGTCAGGGTGAGGGGAGGGAAGGGAGGGAGCAAGGAGGGGGAAAAGAGTCGAGAGGGGAGCTGAAGGCTCGGTCAAAGAGAAGTGCAGTGTTGCAAACAGGAGAATGCATATCAAAATCCGAATATGGATTTATTTATTATTGACTTAGTGGAAATGGTCACATGTTCATTGGAAGTACAGTACTTTATATTGATATGCCCATGGAAATTTTACTACGGTTTTGCTTATTTGCCTATGCTGTGTTATCAGTGCCGTCTCCAATGGAACACATGTACCTTTTAGGCATTTGTCAGTATTTACAGATATGTAATACTGTACAATAAAGTAAAACTCACGCCAAACTGTTTTTCATCATTTGAGATCTCTCAAAGACGTGAGGTGGCGCTATATCAAATGCAAGGATTGTTATGATCATTGTCTGACTTTTAGACACACAACAACAACAACAACACTAGCTGCTTATTACAATTGTGACTGCTACAAACACATCCAAATAAGCCATTTTCTTATCCTCCTGAAGTATTAGAAGCAGCAGAGTTGTGAGCGAGACCGAAACTTTGAAAACTTTAGGTGCGGAGCTCACATCTACAGATTTCGAATTCAGTACATGATTCTGTCTGGAATGTTTAACTAAGAGGCTTGTGGAAATAACTTCCACCACTACTGCCTTGGGGAACTCACTCGCTCATTTTGAAATATCACAGCATTAGTTAGATGATAGATTGTGCTCCGAAAACTATTCTTACCCCCTGACACTTTGTCATTTGCTCAGGATGGAGCACACGGTAGTTTTCATTTTGCTTTTAACTTTCCTCCTGTAGTTACCTCACTTTGATTATTGTGAGGAATAGGTTTTGTCTTCCGCAGTTTGAAATCGCGGGTAAAATGCTTGGAATTCTGTCACTCAGAAATAATCTTTTCCTGTACAAGGCTCTGCGTAACCCCATTCTCACTACGCTCCACCTGCTCACTGTTAGATTGACTTTAAGTTTCTTGTTTCAAACTTTCCAATGTCACCATGCCCATCCCTACCTTATCTCTGTGATTTCCTGCAGTCCTACTTCCTTGTCCTTACCGCTCTCTCCACCTCACCAACAGTGGGTGATCATCGTTCAGCCACTTTGCCCTCACTCTCTGGAGCTCTCTCCCTAAATCCCTCCACTTTGCACCCTTCCTTTCAACCTTCAAAAACTTTCTAAAAACTTACCTCTGACTAGTTGAGGAAAAGAGAGTTGAAAATTGGAGACTATTTACCATACTTGAACATGATTCAGACCTCCCAAAATACTCAGACACGCAACTGGTTGTGGTCACTGATAAGTAATCAGTAGCAGGAAGGCTGATAGATTTTTCTCTTTATCATCTGAGAAAAAATATTCCCAAAGTTCATTGTTTATTTTTCTTTTCACTTCCCTATTTTTGAGCTCTTCCTCCCTAACTAGCAGTTGAAAGATGAGGTGAAGCCTTCTTTTAAAAAACAGTACTCACCAAGTTAATTAGCTTTGTTTAAAAAAACACACACACACACACAGTTATTTTTCAGCACATGCAACTAGGAACTACGTATTTGGATGCTATCAGCGTTGTAATATACGAAGTTGTTAACTGTATAAGTGAGAGATAAAGAGATAAAGTAGAAATCATGCTGAATTGCTGGAAAATTAAGACAATTTTGTGTTGTTGAAAAGCTATCATTACTATTTCTACCGCTGATGTGCGTGCAATGTGTTTTGGAAACTATATAAATATTGAAATTTCTCAGTGACTCATATGATGCATGGTTAAGAATTGCCATCTTAATTATCACCAAATTTAACATTGTTCTGTCAGATGATTTCCTGAAAGAATAAGGATACTTCCCATTACGATTAATGCTTACATTTCTAACATTCATTAAAACTCAAAACACACTGATAAACTATAAATTACAATAAATCGTAGAATTGTCCTGTAGTTGCCCAGATATGGTATATCAGTGTCTTTCGAGTTTCAGTGAATGTTAGAGACATAAGCATTAATCGTAATGGGAACTATCTTTATTATCCTGCAAGTCTACAACAACAACAACTCGCACTTATCTAGTGCCCTCCACGCAGAGTAGCGTCTCAGAGCGCTTAGCTGACTTGGCTGCTTCCTCAACTCAATGAACACTGGCCTGATTCGTGTCTCTCACTCTATCCGCCATACCATACCATAAGCTTTCAATTATTCTGCCCCGCTCTCGGAAATGTCATTCCAAGTCCCTCTGACTCACTCCCTTCCTCCTCATTTTCAAAGTCCGTCACTATGATCCCATTTTCAGTCACCTTTCCCCCTCCGCCCGGATGCTCTTCAGCTCCTCCCACCTCAGGTACTGTGAACACTTTCAGACATCCTCCTGCTGTGAAAGGCGCTTATGCAAATGTAAATTTTATTACGTACTTCGTGGATCTACAACTACTTTTTTGTTGTTTAATTTTGTCGCACGGCAAAGTTCATGCACTGTGCATAAGATCCGTGTGCAATTCATTTCATATTCTAGAAGATGATTATGAAACAGTTGCCATTCACATCACGAATGTGAGTGCCATTACGCCATGACTCCAGGCCATTAAATTACAGAGTGAGAACACATTGAGAGCACTAATCATCAAACATACTCACTGTGTTGTGATTGATCAAATGGCTGTTATGTCATAAAAATTGTGGCAAGATTTTAAGATATGCACCATTTTACAACCCAGCCCATTGAGTCACAATTTTTTTTCTCTTTCAAGTTATCTCTGACTTCAACAAGGCACAGCCCAGCTTGGCAAACACATAAACAACATATTACCATTTGGAAAACAAATGTACTTTCTATGACTCATTTGGGAATTTAAAGTACTTGCATATGTGTAAAACCAGATGCATTTCGGAGAATGAGAGCATAAAAAGCTTGGAAAAGGGAAAGGTTCAAATCTGCTCTTCCCCATAGATCATGCATAACCTATTGCTTCCACTCACTTTACTTCCTGTAGAAAGTTCTGTATAAAAACACTGATTTTTTAAAGTAAGCAAAAATTCTTTCATTAGGAAAAGTTACAGTAATATATATAACAATAATCCTTGCATTTGATATAGCGCTTTTCACATCTTCTAGATGTCTCAAAGCGCTTCACAGAATATACTGTAAAGTGAACTGACTGTATATTTGTGGACGAAACATGGCAGCTATTTGCACACAGCAGCGTCCCACAAACAGTCATGGATTGAAGTCATCGATCTATTATTGTTTTTTTCTTAAGGGATTATTATCAGGTGTGTGGAATAAGGAAACTTGCCCAAGGTTTCGCCCTGCCGGGAATCAAACCCAGGTCTTTTGCTTGCGAGGCGAGTGCTCTAACCACTGAGCTACAGTAGTTGTAGCAGTTTTCGCTCTCTATTTCTTCCAGGATCTTTCAGATCCCTATACGGATATTGCAGGCAGCGGCCAATCTATTACGTTTGGTTGAATAATCGAGTAACATCTGTTTCACTCAGAGTATGCACATTTTATTTTTTTCATATCTGTGCTTTTAAGCATGATTAAGCAACAACAGAAAACTCAGGTGCTTTTGTTTTAAAATGTAAAAATCGCTTTTTCCAATGTTCGGGGAATAACTGACTGTTTAAATGTTAAAATGATCTCTAAATATGATCCCTTTTTGAAAACAGAAAGAGTAGCATTCTGTAAATGTCTAAGTGATCTGTAGTGCTCACAATAACATCTGCCTTGCATTTCTGAATCCCCCAAGATCCTGCAAGTGGTGCACTTTTCTTTCCCACCTGACTCTTTTCCCAGTTGACTTGAAACAGATGATGATTGTTAGGCAAGTGCATGTGTGTCTCTCTCCGCAGTTCATTACTGCTCACGATGAGCTGTGACAAATCTGCTCTTAAGGTACTTGCTATCTTTTTGTTATCTTTTTCTTTTTATTCTGAAGTGGGTGGACCGTTCGGCAAAAGTTTTGTTTGAGGGAAGCAATAATTAAAAATTGAAGCCGTGGCAAATGATTCTCCTGTTTGGTTACAGGTGGCATATAGGGTATTTACTTAAACCTGAAACTGCACCAATTTGTACCAAGATTTGTTTTCTCAGCATATGTTCTCAAGCCAAATTCTACAAATTTGGATGACCAAAATAGTACAGTAATATCACACAGCCTGCGATGAATACTGCGACAATGAGATTGATATTGTTTTCAGTATAATTTAATTGAAATAATTGATCACTTTTGCTGTCATCAGGGTGGAGTGTGCTGATGGTAATGAATTATCCATGCTAAACAGCTTTTAGCCAATGTTAAACCATCATCTTATCTTTAAATCAATAAAATATTATCTTTTGGAACTTGATAGAGCTTGTAGTTTGTATTGGTTGTTGGAAACAATATGACATCTGATAAGAGGAATAGAATATTTCTCATAAGAAAGCCTGTTTTCTCATAAGAAACCGTTAGCTCTCTTGCGATCCTTTATTCTAAAGTTTGCACTGGTTTAGGAAATATCAGAACATATTTACAATATAAAAGAAACATTTCAAGAAAGAAAACATGAGTTGTTCATTTCAAACAGAGAAGTTGATAAACACGCAACAATAACTTTCTTTGGGATGGAATAAACACATTTTAAAATGCCATGAGACGTGTGCATTATGTTGCACGTATCTATAGACATCACTAAACTGACACCTTATTTCACATTAATGAAAAACAAAACAAAAACGTAAAGCTTGGGATATGTAAGCTGCACAAATCACTTTCTAATATTCTTTCTGTGAAGTCGAACCGTGGTGCACTTGTGTGTGTTTCCAAAAGTTTTTATTCGAAATCTCTGTCTTAGATATTTAGATTTCTATTCTCGTGAGGTCCTGTCTTTCAGAAATCTTCGGGGAATACATAATTTGCCATTTATCGGTTCATGTGAGTTGTTGACTGTCACAAAGGAGAACCAAAGAAAGGTCCTTAAACCATGCAGATTTCGCCCACAGAATACACAGTCAATCCGCAATATATTCTGTGAGACCCTTTGAGACGTCTCAACGACGTGATAAGGTGCTACATCGCACACGAGGATTACTATTATTACAGTGTTCCTTAATCGACTCTGCAAGCTCAATTAGTTACGAAAGGTGGCGTGGTGAAGAAATGCCATTTGATTACTCATGGAAATAACAGAAGGATATTTCAGCTCATTATTCAGGCGAGGAAAGTAATTGAGAAACAGAGAGGCTTGCTTAGCCAGACAGTTGGGCTGCCAAAGTCTCCGCCTATGGATGGAATCGATTGGTGTTAAACACCTTGTTTGTTTCAGTTGCAGGAAAGTCCCACAGCCTTTCAGAAAGTGTCACTGGTTAAACTGAGTGTCAGTCAATGGGCTGTTCCTTCCTTACAGATTGAAGTTATGTTGCTCTCTGTCACAAGTTCATTCCTAACCTACACACAAGAGGAGGCAAGGCAAACCCCTGTACTGTTCTGTACTTTGCCAGGTTTACTGAAAGCAGAATGTCACTGCTCTGTGCAAAAGGTAAATACTTAGTTCACTTTCAAGGCTTCCAAACTTTTGAGTGGTTACAGTTGTCTTTTTTTTGGTGGGAGTGGGGAGAGAGAGAGGAGGGGTGGGGAGAGGCTAAACTCTCTGCAAATACAATTTCATCATTTGTTTTGAACAATGTCATTTGTTAAAGTGTAAATTAATAAAAATAGTGAAACTTGGGTCTGTGTGTTTCGAGTTCCATGTTAGAAAGACAGCATTATTATTAACCTGGTGCTTGGGCAAGTCGTGTGTGAGCCGGGTTTCCCCCTTGTTGCAACTTGTTTTAAAAGGTGAAACTTTTTTTTTGGAGCTAAACTCCCAATTGCCCCCAAAGCCCCGCTCCTGATGTAGTAGTTTCCTGGTCAATCCTAGGGGTTTCTGTGCTTATTATTTAAGAGAGGATGATTGATGGGCGAATGCTTTGGGGAGTGATTTAGTCTTGAAATATAAATATATATATGTCTATATAAGCTTAAATGATGCTTTCACAGTCCCTTTATGCTTCATAATAATAATAATCCTTGCATTTGATATAGCGCTTTTCACGTCGGGAGGACATCCCAAAGCGCTTCACAGAACATACTGTAAAGTGAATTGACTGTATATTTGTGGGCGAACGCGACAGCCAATTGCGCACAGCAATGTCCCATAGCACAGAGAGCAATCTCTCCAGTGTCTCCTCTCTCCAAGGGCTCTTTAAAGAGACGCTTACTGCCTCTGAACAATGGTTTAAGTGTCAGCCTCAGGATTCAACTCATTCCCTAGTCCCAGAAGGTTTACAGGACAGGACTTCCTTTATTTCCACCCACAGCCCCTCCTGCACATCGCCTCTTTTTATTATTGTCTTGTTTCTATTGCTTGTATTATCCCACCCCCACTCCATTGATAGTGAGTCTCCTCCACCTGGGAGGTGGGAGGGAGAGAGATTTATGATGGGTGTCCCCACCCGTTTACAGGTGCCTTGTCTGTACACGGTACTGACCAGTGCCAAACAAGTGATTGATTGAGCTGGGATGTTGACAGGGATTCCTCACCAGTGCCAGGGATGACAGCAGCTGAGCGACAGCTAAACACCACCACCAACTAATTGCTTAGCTCTGCAAATTGCATAGCTCTGCAAATTGCAAACTGCGCAGACTTCCTTCTCCCCTCCACCAGCTCCCCGTTTAAAACAAAATTGTTACTCACTTCATGGCAGTTTGCGGGACATTGCTATTCACATATTGGCTGCTGAGTTTGCCTTGAAAATATACAGTAACTACACTTCACAGTAAAATTCCACGGAGCGCTTTGAGACAGCTCAACATAGTGAGATAAGACACGATATCAATTCCAAGGATTATTAGTATTATCATGGATGTTACTCCATATTTTGTACTCTGTGTTTTAACATCCTTTATTGTCAAAACGTTTCTTCTAACCTCTTCCTCTTTAATTCCTTTCTTCATTAACTAACGAGAATTTTTTTCCCCCTATTTATTCTTTCCACCCTAATCTTGCCAGGGGGCTTGAATGACATCATGTTGTGTAAGCGATCAATTAGTTTGTAATTGTGATCTATACCCCGACATAAAATTACTGGGTGTATGGACTTGCTCCCAGGTGAATTTGGTGTGAGGTCATTACATAACTGGGATAAATGACCCTTATTAATACTAATATTAACCTTTTATTAAACCAACTTTTTAAAAAAAAGACAGAAAGAATCTGTTGTTAAGGTTAAATTCACAAACTGGGATTATTCCTGTTTTTTTTTAATCTCTCTGTCACTTCATTTGGGATTGCAACAATAGGAAATAACTGCTGGAAACGTTTGCTTGCAGCTGTTTTTCTTAGGAAACAACCACCCTGACACATTGCGACATAGTGTAAAATTTCAAAATGTTGATGCCTTAGCTCTGCAAATTCTTTGACCTTTAGGTTGTCGCTTACATTTCATCCACAAAATACAGTCAGTCCATTTTACAATATATTCTGTGAAGTGCTTTCAGACATCTCAACAATGTGATAAATCACATTATCCCGCTATATCAAATGCAAGGATTATTATTGTTATGTTTCGTTCAGTAATCTTCCTAGTGTTTTCTTAGCAAGTGTTCTACATCAAACACAAAGTTGACGAACTCCATTTACCAAATAAATACTGTAGAGGATGTTGGGTGAAAGCTCCCCAGTGTAATTTTTTTACTCTGAAGTTTTATTCTGACTGTGCAACTTAGTAATAATAATCAGTGTGTTTGATAGAGTGCTGTATTAAATGAACTGACGGTGCAAAATTCAATCAAAACTGGCTGATGTTTAAGAATGTAGAATAGCAAAAATACAAAACATTGTAGAAAGGTAAAGAAGCCAAAATACTTATCACTTATAAAGGAAATATCACTGTTTGGATCATATTCATAGGCTCTTATTTTGTTAGATTTAACCAGAACTCACTGAGATAAACAGGAAGGTACTGATGCAATAACATATCCTTAACCCATTATTACTTTTTAAATGTTTATGAACTGTAACGAGTAATATTTAAATAGCTTTCCTTAACTACAGAGAATGGCAAAGACGATTTGTCCTGACAAGTTTACAGTTTAAAAAAAACAGTGTTGAGTAACTTTGGTTTACAGCTCGTTCATACTCTAAGCAACAAAATCAACCAGTGCATGAGGTGGAGCTATGCAAGCTTGCAATTCACACCGCTCCGGATAAAGTCAAATCTATGCAAAGTAAAAACTGTAGAAAAACAATTACAAATTACTGCAACCTACACTTTTGTAAGAGGATCTTTGTTTTCCAAAGCATTGGATGGGCAGCCCTGCTTCTGATTTTGGTCAAAATGAATGCACGACATCAGTTAGCTTTCATTTTGAATTGTGATGATTTAGATGTGAATTTGTATTATGGCATTTTTATATTTGCCCACATTTATGGATTAAGTGTCAAACAGTAAACACAGAATTTTGATGAACTGCTTCCTGTAATCAAAGTAATGGATTCAGGTACGACTGTTGGGATGTGCCAACATTTGTGAAACTCTTGATACAGTTCTGATTGGATTATTCATCCAATTCCAAGCTTTCAGAGATTGCAAGAATACAGAGTTGGAATTTACTCTATTTAACTGTAACTGCTCAGCCAAAGGATTCCCCCCCCCCCCCCCCCACACTCCTTAAAGTTCCCAAGTCAACCCATTAAATATTAATGATAATGAATGCAAAGGCAAAGCTTATTTTCTTTATTGCTTTCATTCATTTGTTTCCGTTACTTAAGACGATGTGCAAAAGAAAACCTGTGCAAGTGTTAATGGACAGTGAAAATCAGGAGTGCACTGCGGGCAGCTGAGTGCATTTTATGTTAATTAGGGACAGATTTCATGAACGTCACTAATTGAAAGATCTTTGCGAAGGAGAGTTAGGAAATGTCAAAAATAGCAAATGGAATAAACCAGCAGCAGGAACATTATTTGTAATCTGGTTGGTTTGCTACAATGAATGGCTAAACTCTACTAAAGTATTGGTAATTCTTTCATGGGGTTCTATAGTTCTGTGGAACTGCTGTTTTAAAAAAAAATCTTCTCTTAACTTTCCCCCTTCTCTGAACCTTTTCCAAGTTTAAGAAGGTGAGGTGTACCTGGTGGCAATAGAAGGTAGTCATTACAACTGAAATATTGTTGCGTGCAACACTTTGGGATGTCCTCCTGATGTGAAAGATGCAGGAGTCCTGTAGCTCAGGGGTTATAGCACTCGCCTTGCAAGCGAGAGACCTGGGTTCAATTCCAGGCAGGGCGAAACCTTGGCCAAGTTTCCTTACTCCACACGCCTAATAATAATCCCTCCAAAACAAAACCATAATAAATTCATCATTTTCAATCCACGACTGTTTGTGGGACACTGCTGTGCGCAATTGGCTGCCGTGTTTCGCCCATAAATATACAATCAATTCACTTTACAGCATATTCTGTGAAGCGCTTTGGGACATCAAGAAGACATGAAAAGCGCTATATCAAATGCAAGGATTATTATTATATATATTATATATAAATTTTAACGATGGTGATTTTACGAATCATTGAAATAGTGTCGGCAGTCCTGTCCATCTGTATCATGAAATGGATGAAATCTAAAATTAATAACTCAATCAAGAAATGGAGTGATAATTTGGAAAAAAAATGATTATTATTTTATATAGAATGTTGTTAAAGTGTATAAACATGCTTGACAGAACTGCAATGTACTAATAGTTGTTTAATTTTTCTAGTTAAAAGAGGAAAGCTGAACGGTCCATTGGGTAAGAGTTTTTTTCTCTTTCTCAACTTATCACCTTTTACTGAATGCCAATATTTGTTTTTACGGCTGAAACTTACAATATATTAAAATTCTGAGTCATGTGTCTGGTTTGAAATTGAAAAATGTATACGGGCACTTTACACTAACAAAGATCTATTTTTGTAAATTCCAGAATTCCTGATTCCAAGAATTCTTAATTCTTTTCACACCTATTGTAAAATCTGGTACAGAAATTCCATCTTCATGCAGGACTTTATACCCTCAGAACCTGTGGATACTACCTATGCATCGGTTTGAATTATTTCTGTCTTATAGCCTGTTGCTCATGTGACTTTTATCCATATTTTGCAATATATTGATTGTGCACTATAGCTCCAAACATTTGGATATAACTTTAGAAAGTGAATTATTTAGTGAATCATTCAGTTACTAGAGAGAATGCCATTCAGTTTCTATTAAATAGGTTTCAACCCAATGATAAGTGCTACATCTAGACATTGCATGATAAATTATATATAACATGGGCACAATTCTGTGCAGTCTGCAAGAGAATTGTCCGAATCATGCATCATAAAGATCTGAAGAGCAAATGCTTTGAGTTGTAACCCAAAGTTCAGTGACTAAATTACTTATTTCTATTATTGTGTCGCACTTGTAGTGAGAACCAATAAAAATACCCGAATCTCAATGCTGGGTGAAATCAGTTATTTATTCAGATTTTCATTTGTGTATTGTGTGCAATCATTCATTTGGATAAAATGTTGAGATGGAACGTAGTTGTTTTTATTTGCTTTGTACTGAGCATAGAAGTAAAATGAATTGGAAGTTATGTTTCCCAGTGGATGTCTTACCCTGCATGCTATTGATTTAAAAGTCTCAAAATTTAACTGGGGCAATTTGCCAAGCAAAGCTGCAGATCAATGTTGTTCTAAATATGAGTAATTCCTTTTGTAATATGCACGGCACTTTTGGGGATTCAATGAGAATTTGCATTTGGCTTCTGATGGACAGAATCTGGGTACACAATAGCGTTAGCTAAAAATCCTTTCAAAAGGGCTTGTTTAAAAATGGCAATGCATATTGATGTGGTGCCTGCTGAAAGTGATTTGTTATACCTATGCAGTTCATCTCATCTATCGCCTGCTGTATAAGCCAACACAGATCAGAAGTAGTGGGGTACTTGCACAGGTATGATTGATGTTCGGTGGAAACTAATTTCCATGTATCTGCTTTGTATATGGGGTTGCTGGGGAGGACGGTTACAGCTTATGAATGTAGGTGTTTAGTTCCTGAACTCCTCAACAGCTTTTTCTATTCATTGTGGAGTGGGCAAGTGACTGGATGATTCTGCTTAATTTCACAAAAGTTAGAACTTTTATTTCCAAACATTGCAGGTGAATTCTAATTCAGTGTCTTTTATTTTTTTTGCCAGTGGGATTTTTTCAAAGTTATTTTGATGCATGATGCGGCAAAAAATGAGTGAATCATTCCCTCCCACCCGTCCCCCCACCTTCTTAAAAACTAGTCACTAAATTCATCTGCGTCGAGTCATTAAGGAAGTGGCTAATGAAATCAGATATGTTTATGTAGTTGGTGCAGAATAGTGACCTTGAATACGGAAAAGGAAAACGTTATACTAATTTATAAATGATCTACAGGAGAAACATTAAAGGGTTTTATGAAGGAGGAAATAATAAGCACCTTGAGGAACTTGAAATAATGAAAAGGAACTCACCAAGCACTTGCATTAGATGTTGGAATAAATAACTTACCTTGTGGATAACTGGAATTTAGATGTGATACATTCTCTTTTTAGCAAACCTTTTGACAACGTCTGAAGCGCAGATGGAGCTGACAAAAATACTGTTCAGCGATCACGCCTTGTTATAGCGCTGGTTAAGATATTATGACCTTCCACCTTCCCACCCCCATTACCACCTAGTAATGGTCTCCATTCTATTCGGAAGTCACTAGGAAAGAATTTATGAGCCAAGACGAGTGAAGCAGAAATATGCCGCTCAGGAACTAAATAATGCACATGTTTAACTCTCAGATGAGGAACAGTGCATTTCACATCTTGTTGTCTAAAGATGTATCTCTTGTTGGTTTAGATTCCTAAGTTGTAAATCTAGTTTGTGCTTAATGCAATTCCTGTGTGTTACTGTATAGTCAGATTCTGTCTTAGTGCAGTAGTTTGGGTCCATAAAATCAAACCCCACATTATAGCAGTTTCCGGTCACCAATCACAACCTGTCTCTGGAGCTTTTACAGTGGTTTCTGGGTTACCAAGAGGCCATCTGTGTATCAGAAGTCACATATATTCGAAGTGCTACTTTCCAAAGCCAGAATGCCACAGGCAGCCACAGACTTCTATGCAGTAGCATTCTGTCTCGTTTTACCTTGGGAATGATAATTTGCAATATCGTGTGTGTATAACACTTTTATTATTTTCCAGACAAGTTTAACACGTACGTAACTCTGAAGGTTCAAAATCTGAAGAGTACCACAGTGACAAGGCGAGGAAATGAACCACAATGGGAACAAGATTACATGTTGTATGTTTTTTTCAGTGTGCTTTATTATAGTAGAAAATAAATAACCCTTGCATTTGATATACCTTTATCATATAATTTTGACACGTCAGGTAATTGATATGACACCATGGTTTCAGTCACAAGCCGCCTCTTCCCAGGTGGTATATTTTTGTTTTGCCCACAAAAATATACAGTCAGTTCACTTTACAGTATATTTATTCTGTTAAGCACTTTGAGACATCTCGACGATGTGACAAGGCACTATACCAAATGCAAGGATTATTATTATGTGTATATATATATGTATATATTCTATTGAGTATTGGGATATGAATAAGAACACCGTTATCCTTGCAAGCCATTGTGATGGCTTTCTGTATTTATAATACAGTACAATTATGTTATCAAAACTGTTGTAAATTATTTATTCTCCATGTCGGGGAAAGAGAACACTCTTCTCCTTTTAGACATTAATTGCATTTTAGGGTGACACACAGCGAAGCTTCCTCTGCGGTCGCTCTCTCTCTCAATTACGTGAAATAACTACCAATCTCAGAGCTTTCACTCTGTACCAGTGTAAATCTCTCCTTTCTTACAACAATGATCGTTAGACTGTGAATTAAATTACCAATTTAGAGCTGGATTAAGGGCAATTTTGTGATCCGGAGCAATGCCTATCAGGTTGTGACCGCTTAAATTTATGTCACTTGGAACCTTAAAAAACCAGTCGAAGAATCACATAATAATGTGGAATGGACAAAAGCAATTGTAAGGAGGATAGTTATATCGTGAATTGATCTTGGTTGCTGGAAGTAGAGAAGAATTTAGAGAAATTGCACTGGAGGATCAGCGAACAAGCAACACATTTCTCATGACTTAAACGTTCTGACAAATCTGGTAAATCAAGTTCATTCAAACACCTGCGCACAAAGGGCAAGAGTTCCACGTGACAATATTACCTGAGAGTTCTACAATCTGGCAGAGCAGTGAGTAGAGCTTCATTGTTTGTATTGCTTTCAGAGATTATTGCAGAATTATAAATGGGTATGAAGAAAAGGCTGGAGTATCGGACTACATGATAGCTCTTTCAGGAAGCCAACACAGATGAGCCAAATGGCTTCCTTCTATGCTGTAAATTTCTATGTTTTCAATGGTATTCATTGTGTTTTCATTGTGTCCTATCTTAAGCAACTTGAATGTTGAACCTTTGTTTATATCCAAGGCTAGTTTAATTTGCAGCAGAGAAGGCCTTTGATCATAGATTTTGATGCTCAATGTTAGGGTGGTGTGGTGAAAGGAAAGTGTGATATTAACGGTATTTCAAAAGTTTGCCGGTAAATTAGTGCGCAAAGATTTCAAGTATAAAGTGAGATGCATTATTTTGACTTGAATTTTAAAAGTGTATAATTTCATATATATTTCTCTTTCTTTTTAGTGAGATAAGTGACTTAGACAAGGGTCTTGTGGTCGAAGTCTGGGACAAAGGCTTAATATGGGACTCACTACTAGGAACTGCATGGATTCCCCTTAGGACAATCACATACGCAACTGAGGTATACTTCACTTTTACGCATGATCTAGCTTGCAGTGATATAAAATATTGGAGAAGGGCAGCTGATAAGGACAGATGGTGTTTTTTTTTTAAATCTTTTTGGTTCATTCCCGCAAGACCAGCTTTTTGTGTCTTACACACTCATTTTTTAGAGAAAAGGTATCAAATAGAGTTTCATCTTAAATTACTGTGCAACTTACTCACGTGGCTCCTTGTCCCTTTCTAAAACACTTACTTTAAAGTTGTCCCTTGCAATTCTGAAAAACATTCCAATATATAGTGTAAATTTCAAGTAAGGAGATGTTAGCTACTATGAAACTTGCTACACACTAGGCTAAGACTTTTAAATATTGTGTTACTTGTACTTTTAGAGCAGCTTTTTTTTTGCAATACCTTTTCCAGTAGAATTTGTCAAATCAGAAGTTTACCTAAGTACTGCAAATCCAGTGTTCTTAAAGTTATTTAATAATACATTCTTTATTAGGAAGGACCTGGGGATTGGTGGATTTTGAATTCTGAAGTTCTTGTGAAAAACGATGAGATTTGTGGCGCAGAAAATCCAACACTTCACGAAATCTTATTGGATATATACTTTGAATTACCTGCCGGTAAGGTTTGTTTTCAATCAAATAATATTCTGTATGAAATTTCTTCTGTTGGATGAATTTGAGTTGATTTTCAAATGCCTAAAATCCTACATAGATACTCAATAATAGGCACATACAAAATCTTCAGTCTTGTTTAAGTGCAGATTCTTCTTGTGCCGAGTTTTCATTTGTTTTTCGAGTCATGAAAAGCAGAATAAATCAGCCATGGACCTGTTTGCCAAACTATCTTTAGGAAGTGCAAATTGATCCAATCTCTGCTGAAAATTGTCTCTTGAAAGGTCAATGTACTGGCCAAGACTTTGAAGAGTTAGAGAGAAGTAGAAAGATATTTTACAATGAGTAAATGTTTTAAAGATATTGGTTTTACATTGAGCTAATGCTAGAAGCATTGGATTCTAATCAGACATAGTCAAGTAATTAACCATATCTGATAGTTATCAAAATAAAAACAAACCTCTTGGTGAAGTACCCATTGAAAAAAGCTACATGATGAATGTGTCAGAGTAACTTGCCGTGAAATATGGAATAGTAGTCATTAGAGAGATTAATGATGCTTGTGATCCAATCAAAATGGATTTCTTGTCTCTCATGATTAATCTTCCACTCTGCGGGGGGACATTGTGCTGATCTTTTTGGCTCTGTTGATACTTGCTTATCTAGTAGCTCAACAGATTTTAGCTAAACTTACTGTTCTTTCATCAGATATTGTATTCCGCTGACTGTTCCTTGAGTCATCTGCCCATCTATCTGTTTTGCATACATCTCTGTACAAAGCAATATCCACTCAATACTGAAAACAAGTCTTTGCTGGCTTTTAACCAAGCTACAAAAAGAATCTTATAATAATAATCCTTGCATTTGATATAGCGCTTTTCACGTCGGAAGGACGTCCCAAAGCGCTTCACAGAACACACTGTAAAGTGAATTGACGGTATATTTGTGGGTGAATGCGGCAGCCAATTGCGCACAGCAATGTCCCACAAACAGTCGTAGATTGAAAATGACCAATTTTTTTTTATTATTGTTTTTGGTTTTGTAGGGATTATTATTAGGTGCGTGCAGTAAGGAAACTTGCCCAAGGTTTCGCCCTGCCTGGAATTGAACCCAGGTCTCTCGCTAGCAAAGTGAGTGCTCTAACCACTGAGCTACAGGACTCCACATTAAACATGGGGTCAATTGAAAAATTACACCATTTGATGATCTAAAAAGCGATATCAAGTATCACAAATACAAATAAGATTGGAATGTATTGAAAAGGGAATGGTGAGAGAGGTGAGCACATGGTTGAGTCCAATGGCGGTGCTAATATCTTGGCAAAAACATTTAGAGCTAGTGGGGTAGTTGAGAAGATGCATGTTTTAAGAAATATTGAAATGACTAAGCGAAAGTTCCTGAGGAAAGGGAGAGGTTGAACATGGAGGCCAAGAAGGGTAGTTGGATCGCCAGAAGATAAAAAATGTAGCTGAATGCGATGTAAAGGCCTGTTACAACTGAAGCCAAGTTTCTCACAGAACCATGACATCCTATAGGGTTAGGGAGGCAAGCAAGCACTGGAGATGGATTAAGAGGAGAGTAGGAACTAGGAACAGGTAATGGAAGCCCAGGAAAAGCAAATACAATGGTCAGTGGTGAGGAAACTTGAGCTGGGAGTAAGTTGTGGAGTAGATATTTACTTTAATGTTGGATTTATTACTCACCGTATGCATGCTTAACATGTAGAACTATTTTTTTAAGCAGAGATGTGATTCACTGTAGACTTGCCACCATTCTAAGGGTTACACATTGGGTATCAATAATTATAATTAACTTTTGAGAATCTTGCCAACATCTTGGGTGGCTGAATTATGTAACCTGTTGAAAGAAGATTGTTGAAGAATCTTATTATTGATATTAATTGCTAATGTACATAACTGCTCACTGTCAAACTTAATAACATTTCAACTAGCACCTTTTGTTATGTGACTGTTGTACAAAAAGAAAATAATGTGACTCTCTTGTTTTACTTCTTAGAAATCCCAGAGGATGAAGCTCGATACTTAATAGAACGCCTTAAGAATATAAACATTCAAATTGAGCAGGTAAGTTGGTCTGGGGAATGTCAATGATCCCTTTACATGAGGCACAATGATAATTTTTCAGAAGCATCAGTGACCAGAATAGATTAATTTACATTGTTACCTTTGTTGGTTTCAAACTTTACTCCTTTTTTTGGCCAAATCCCTGACTGTCCAGCACCTTGGGACATCCTCCTGATATGAAAGCCGCTATACAAATGACGTTTGTTGTTGTTTTTGCAGAGTCAATACGATGTTTGATTCCTTTGGAACTTTACTGTTTTCTTAACTGTTGATGGGCTTCTATCTTTAGTGAAGATATTACAATGAATTTTGTTTCCATTTTCCAGGAAAAAAATGTCAAGGATATCTGTTCTAAACATGATCCTGTCCAGAACCAGAACTTGTCTTTAGTGGTCTCTCAGAATTGTAAGTATGTAGCCAATAATTAACCATAAAGTAAAACACGTCTCACCATCAACCCTCATTTTCAACCACACACTGAACAGTTGCAGAGTTTGATATGATTAAAGACCTATGTTATTCTTTAAAAATATATATGAACACTGGGGGGCCTGTCAATCATTAACACGAACAAACTTTGTAAGTATTCAACAATACGTACCTTAAAGATGTGTTCTTGTGGCACATAAAATCATGTTAATGTAAAATAATTCATGGAAGCATTACCCTTAATGGAAAGGTGGGAGTGCAGATCAGTTGCCTATTTTGGGCGAGCATTGAGGAATTAATGCCATATCGTACTAAAAGTTCTTCATAAAGCCTCCAGGGGTCATTGCAGTATTGCATTTTGTCATACAACATTTAGGTTTTGGAGTTTATATGTTATTTCTGTTTGGTTCCACTGATGGAATGTAGTTCTTTTGAAGATTTTTGTCACTTGAAGCCGAAGATCAGCAGATACGAAAGCAGCCTTATTGTTTGAAATCTTATTTAATTCTCTTCTCCTAAAGACGTACATTTAACTTTACTTCATGGCAGTTTGTGACACATTGTGCAAATTCGCCAACAAAATACAGTCATTACACTTTCCATTGAATCCTGTGAGGCGCTTTGAGACCTCCTCCCGATATGAAAGATGCAACATTAAATGCGAGGATTATCATTCTAATATTTGGTTAAGGCGATAGTTTCACCTTCACATTTCTGCTTTATCCCAGCTCCTACAGATAGTGCCAGCGAGGAGATAGACAGTGATTACCGAAGCGATCCGAATAATGCATCAATAAAAAGAGGAAATGGGCATTTGAAGTCTGGTTCCGGAGCAGCTGGCCTGAGCCCCCAAATCAAATGCAAACTGTCACCACAGAAAGCATTAAGGTAGAAGGTTCATTACATTTCCAAGATGGCACTTTTTTGGTTTGATTACAATTCTGCATTGGAGTGACGAATAGAAGGGACTGTGTATTTGAAAACCATGGTCAGTGATTGTTTGATGTTCTGCACAGGCCTGCGCTGAATGACTGAAGTTTTCGCTGTGCTGCATAGCATTTGAGCCTCAGGCTGTTTTGATGGTTTTTTTTCCTAATCACTGCATTTGAAGCCAGGTAATGGTTAAAGAGAGTGCGTTGAATTGGTGTAAGTTGCAGCAGTGTGCGATTGGTAATCAGATGGTGAGAAATCATGCAGGACCCTATGCATTTTATTTCCCCTGATTTGGTGCCATCAGTATCAAGCGTTTCTTCTGGGGTTCGTTTCCAAGTTTCACATTTCTTCAAATTCCTTGCTTTTGTCCCTTTCTTTCACTCACCCAGTAACTTTATAGAGTTGATAGAGCAGCAGCTCTCCACAACAGAAGTGTAGAGAGAGCTCGCTTATTCTGCTCACGGAGCTCAGCCTTCAGGTCCATTGTTCATCTTACAGGAAAGGTATGAATGGTACTTATTTCGTTTTCCTGGTGCCTGTTTGTATCGATTGAAAGTTAAACTGGGGATGGTTTCTGATTACATTATTTCTAGGTGTTTAATTATCATGAATTAGGTAGCCATACTTAAACGCAGTGTGAACTGAGCTATTGTCTCACATTTATGTCAAATGGTAAATATTTAATCAGATAAGAATTTGAAAAAAATGCATTGGGGAGAATGATTATTGCTGGTGAGTAAGTAATTGCTTTTTCGGGTGAAATGATTGTTTGCCTCTTATTCACTCTGACTGAAAACTCTTTTTATATTGATTTCCGTATAACAGCAGAGAGGTTTCAAAAATTTCAATATTTTTTATATTTTGATGAAATGCTCCCATCATAACATGTTATTTTGCAGCAAATCAAAAGTATATTATAATGAGGAGAGGATTGCAATCATAATTCCTGAATTGGGTACAGAGTGAACAACACATTACAGTTAGTAATTAAGAGCCTCTGTAAGTGCTTGTGTAGCAGAGAAGGTACTATTGAACATTGAACGGGATGTATTTTTTAGTGGAAGCTATTTTATGTCTGTGTTTATCATGCGCAGAATGTCTTTCCTATCAGAGGGGACTGAAGGCTTCATTGTGAATTCCAGACTCCCAACAACTTTGCCACTTTGCCACTGAACATACAAAGCTACTCTAATGCCGGAATCCGCACTGTATCTCTGATATTGCAACCATACTTCGATAACATTCGACTTCAAGATCCTCACCCTCGTGTTCAAATCCCTTCACTCTCTGGCACCTCCCTACCTCTCTAACCTCCTCACTCGCCAATCCACCACCGGCGCTTCCGCTCGACTGGCACCTCGCATCCTCCGCCCCACCATCAGAGCTTTCAGCCATTATGCCCCAAAACTCTGGAACACTCTTCTTCAATCCCTTCACTTTGCCCCCTCTCCCCATTTTCAAGTTCCACCTGAAAACTTTCCCCTTCGAACGTGCTTCAGCCACCTCCCCCCTCCCCCCCCCCCCACCCCCGGCTCGGAAGCAGGCTCCGCCACTGTTAAGCATTGTGAGACGCTACCCTGAATGGCGGGGGCTATATAAGTACGTGTTGTTGTGGATGCTGTACCAACAAATTTTTGTGCATCACTGCCCATTCTGGAGCCAGGAGCTGAGCCAAGTAAACTTGGTTTCTGACGAGCTGAAGGCTCGATCAAAAGCTTCTTTTACTGGCAAATTGAGGCTCAGAATTTGAAAGCTTGATGAAAACAAACCCTGAAGAATTGGAACAAGCAGTTCAGCAAAAAGTAGCTCACAATGATCAGTGGAGGGAAATGTAGAACCAGAGGTTTACAATAAATTTTGGTTTCACAAAGTGCCTGTTTTTTTTAAGTTTGATCTCTCAATTGGTGGTGGTGGTGGTTGATGGCGAAATTAGTTCGATGGCAACTTCTGAGTACAGCGGATTGGGCTGCTAATCAAAGTACAGCTTTGTTTTTGTGTGGCAGAACTGTGCTCCCAAGCGAGAGTGATTTGTTTTTCTCGTTGATGGAATTGTGCTTCTGAGCAGGAAAGAATTTCTTGAATTTGAGCTGGGGAACTTTTACAACGGACTGGAAAGGTTTTTAAACTACTGTGACTGGGAGCTATGCTGTCAAACAGCAATGACTTGTGTTTGATGCCGGGGAATGAATTTCCAGCAGGACAAATAAAGAATGGCTCCGTAAAAATGAAACAATGAGAAAAGAGGCAGTTGTAAGAAATATCAAATACAAAGAATATTATTATTATTATTATTATATGCCTGGTCAGTGAATCTCAGCAGTGAATATCACAGCCAAGCCTGAGCACCTTCTCACAGATTTCCACAGATGGACACTTTCCAGCAAATATCAGTGAACAGTGATTCAGAGCAAGAGCCACGGATAATTCCTCCTCCACAACCTGCCCCCACCCCAAACATCAGCCCAGGCCACTAAGGTCAACAGTGATCTCCCTATCTGCTGCTTTGGGCAAGATCGGTAAAGATCAGGATTCAAACCCATTGCTCTATGTCACACTGAGTGATGTATTTACTCACTAGGCCATAGGGGAAACACTATGTTTTGTGTTTCCGACTCAACAAGTGATCAATTTTCTGATATCAGACATTGGAAACATTTGAACAAAGTAATTTTTTTTACAACCCATTGGTTTAAATGAGTCTTTTTAAAGAAATAAAATCATCCTAATTTTTTTACTGAGGTTTTATGGCCATGAAAATAATCCCTGTGTCTTAGTTTTGCTCTCAACAAATGTATCTCGAAACGGACTAACCTTCATATTTATTAGATTGCGTCAGTGAAGCGAGACTTGGCGGAGAGTGCAGGGAGAAGACTAATTAAATATTCCATTTTAATTTTACTCTTGTTGAAGATCTAATAACGTGTGCTCCATTTCTCAGAGTAAAACAATGAATATTCACTATTACAACAGTTTATTGAAAATATTAATCTCTTTTAGTACATGATTTTGTCTTGAGAAATGCCAGCATAATAATTTTCATGTTGTACATTTCTGTATAATGTATTGTGGGAATCTTGTGGTCCATTTCAAGTAGGAGATAGAGCCATAATTTAAACTGAAGGCGTTGCCTGCACAATATACTGATATTCTTACAAATACTTTAACACCAAATCTAGGCATTTTCAGTAAATAAATGTACTGTACTACTCCATGTAGTCTTACTGCCTACCCTCACTTGCTACATTATAATAGGTACACAGTTCACTTGGCACAGTTGGTAGCATTCTCACCACTTGAGTCGAACAGTTGTGGGTTCAAGTCACATGCCTGGTCTTTTTAATTTCAGTGCGATTTAGATACGAGGGAAATCATTTTACAATTATTTGAACGTTTGCTACAGGGTCAGATTTTTTTTAAATGTTGATGCACTAAAATCTGTATTTTTTTAATTAAGTTTACTCATTTTTTTAATATTAATTGAAAAAACACAGCTCTCCAACCGTGGAAACACTACAATACCAATACATAGAACTATAATACCAGTGCTATGCCAACATGTTTCCTGAAACAATGTACTCTCCTCCAAATGCCATGGAAGCATAATATGCAATTGACCAGTAGGTAAAATAATCTTAAAATTCAGAAAAAAATCCTGAAACTGTGATGTTGAGTAAGACTGTTGCTACAATAGCAAATTAGATACGGATCCTTTCTACTCCAACTTTACTTTTATCAGCTTTTGGTTGAACTTTATCGACTGAGGAACATTTTTGATATGAACATCGGGCCTCTCGTTTTCACTTTTAGAGTCTTCAAATCTTTCAACTGAACTAATGCATAATACAAATTGCCTAGAGCGAGAATGATACTCTCTTTGCCAAGGTTGACATGTCTGTTGACTTCTGCGAATAAGATCCCCATTGCAATCTTGTCCTGACTTTTGTAAGCCCCAGTAAGTTGTTAGCACTGCATCCAAAATTTACAACAATTATAAAATGTTTGCCAACCCTGATGGCTTAGTTAGACAGAACTGCAACTTACAGACCAGAAACTTTCTGGTTCGAATCGTGGTCTGTGCTGAGTTTGCTGATCTGAGTTGGAGCCGTATGGGTCAGCCTAGCCTTGCCTGTATAAGGGAGGTTAAAACCAGGCAGGTTTCCCTCTTCAGCACCATGTTAGCATGAATGGGTGGCAGCTAAATGAGGAGAGCTATGCTTGACTCAGCTCTGACAGTAGTACTGCATTTGATATAGCACCTTATCACATTGCTTCAAAGCACATCTTAATGTTAATGTTCTGTCTTAATGCTCAGATCTGTCGTACAATGTGATGATAAGCACACTACTCTGAAACGCTCAGTAATATTCTTCTTCAGGTCGAATATCATAAATTGCTGTTACACCCTTATTTGTGTCTACATAGTTTGCTTACACATATCCACTGTGCTTATCGTCCTGTTGGGAAACACTGTATCCAAGGGATTGATTGCAAGCTGTCAGAAGTTTATATGTGCCAGTAAATGAATATATCACACCTTTGTGATGTGTCATACAAAAATGTATTAGGATTAAGTTAAATGTAATAAAATTATACTACAGGGTTCAGATAACATTCATCCAAGGCTTTGATCTTGGAAACAATGTAAGTTGAACATTCCTTTTCTCCTTAATTGATCATTCACCTCCTGGCTATTTTGTGGGGTTGCATGTGGTGTACCTTGTGGTGTGAGGCTCTTTGAGACACTTCTGCGGGATAGCAAGATGTATCAAATACAAGGATTATTAAAATAATTATTTATGCGTTTTTTTCTATTGCTCATTGGTGAAAAAATCCAATCATCTGTATTTGCAGAGACTCCCCCCTCCCCCATTTTAAAAAAAAATACTTTTCAGGGACTCCATCTTTAGAAAATCATTACACTTTCTCTTACTCTAATCTTATTTTCCTCTGAATTA